AACAAATTATGTAATATTATCTTTAAAAATCATATTTCTAACATCTTTTCTGAGATGAAAATCTAAAAGTGTATACAATTTTTATAAGAAGCTTAATACTATAAAATTAAAGAGATTTAAAGTAGTATTATAATTAGTTTTTTAATTGAAAGATAGAATTGAACTTAATCAGTTAGTTAGAACTCTACTTTCATATAATGTAACTATTTAATTTACTTTCAATTTATTAATATTTAATACTGTAAACTGATAAACAAATTTTCAAGATTAATATAAAAAATAAATAAGATATACTTTTAATTCCATGTGACGTAATGTGCAATGATCATTCTCACAATTTCCACTTTGCCAAAAACTACATACCATTTCACATCCTAATGCTTGAGGTTCATGGCGAAAAGGACATTTTTCTCCCTAATGAATAAAATGTAAGTATTACATTTATATTAATATATTATTTTGTAATCCAAGCTTTTAAATCAAATATTTACCTTCATACATGTTGAATAGTAAAAAAAGTAGCAATCGTTATTTTTTTTATCATTTTTTTCCATTGTATATTTTTTACTGGTAAATATGTTCTAAGGTTTTTTTTCAAAATATTTAGCTAAAACTAAAAATAAAGTATTAGTTAAATTTTATACTGAAATTCAATGAAAAACTCAACATCCTTCATATTTTTTAGTTAAACCACCAGATTTTAGGGGTTAATTTAAAAGTTTTTATTAAAAGTTCACTAAGAAAATATTACCCCACTTATGTATAACTTCCTTAAAATCGATTCGTCCACGTTTACTTTTTAAGCAAAGACAGGCGGCGTTCTAAGCACGAGAAAAAAGTTTAACTTTGATAAAATTAAGTTTAAGATCTACCTACAGGATGCCAAGTTGTTTTTTTTTCAAAACTTGTGATATTTAACTTTGGTACCGCATTGACATAACTTACATCGCTTACGATTAATGTAGCAAAGACCTATCGTGATTGCTGATTTTTATAATAAAGTACAATGGTCTAACAACTGAAATTATTACCCAAAAACTGTAATAAGAGATAAAAAATGTCAGAAAAAGAAAAATTTTGGTAAATTATCGGTGATTTTTTGGAAAATGGTAATAACCATTCATAGAGTAACACAATATGTAACCACTTCTCCTTAATCTCTTTGCACCTTATCACTCATTGTACCTATCATAAAGGTTACTATTGTTATCAATATTTATTTAGTAGCAAGCACGAATAGAATTATCTATAAATATTGTCGTTAGTCTAGAAATATTTTAGGTTAGGCTCTTATCACTTTTATAATATCCATGATGGGTTTTTTAATTTTTTGTCATTATTCAGTTGTATTTTGATTATTTCTTTTACTATTCGATTATTCTTTTATTAAATTAAATAATTGTTCATTTACACCGCATGAGATTGGAAAATCATTATTTTACCACTTCATTTTTTTTGTTATTTCCAAACAAATGTGTTAAACGCAAAAAGTATAAATGGCTGATCGTTTAACTCAACTACAAGACATCGTGAATCAGGTGATTATTCTTAATATTTTTCAAAAATTTAGAATTTAAATTTTATAAATTTGTTGAACCCAATTAATATTAGAATATTTTATTACCATTTTAGTAAAATTTTAATATGTATTAATTACATATGTGTAATCATTAAATCCTTAATCATTTTTTAAATTAATATTCTTATTAAATTTAGAAGTAGTCTATATCTTCAGAATAAAATGAATTGATTTTCAAATTGAAATTTGAATTATACAGAGCGTTTGTACATTAACAAATTATTCTAAAAGTTAAGAAAATATTCTAGAAGTTGATATGTAAGAAGCATATAATAATAATAAACTTAGGACAAAATCAGAGTATTTGATCTGATTTTATGATCTTTGTATTGTAATAAATGATAACATTGGTAATTTCTGTATTATCAAAACATAAAAAAATGAACTCAATATAATCTTAAAATTTAATATTTATTTTAGTTGCGATGCGAAGCTGAGAATGTATTAATTTTACTATGATGTGTTTTTTATTTATTTATTTTTTTTTTTTGTGTCTGTGAACGCTCAATCTCATCTCTCGCTGGACTAATTTTGATGAACAATATGTCGAAAGATCACAAATCGAATCTAGTCGAAGACATTACCCTCAAAAATAGAAAAAAATTTCCATCGTTCCTCGTAAATGGGAAAAATGTCCAAAAAAATTACAAATTTAAAAATCGCTAATTTTCGAAATTTTTAAAAAATTTTTTACTTAAAATATTCAAAATTGTGTGTGCTACTACTAGGCTATAATATTCAAAATTTTTTGGTAACATGTTGTAATCTTTTTAATAACTTTGTTTTAATTGGTTCATTTCGTTAAAGTAAATCATTAAAATTAATTAAGTTCTGAATATTTCAATTGCAGAATCTTTTCAAACACCAAAAGTTACTAGGAAATTATTATTATTACTTCTATTTAAGTTATCTATTACGATATAAATGCAAAAAAATATTGAGCTTTTCTGATAAATTTACAATAAATAGTAAGTATAAAACATTCTGACTGCATATTAATCTTAACGGAACAATTTTTTTAATTCTCATAAAATTTTCTATTTGATGATGTCAAATTCAAACTTGCCAATTAAGCTAAAAGTTATGGTAAAATAAATTATTTTTTTTTATTATAAACATTTACAAAAATCAACTTTAAACGATTAAAAATATAGGTTAAATATGTCATTTTCCTTATTTTTAACATATTAATAATCAAAATCAGTATTAATTTAAAACAATTTTTTTTTGTTCTTAATTATTTTTTTTTATATGTAAATACTATTTTTTAATAATATTAAAACTAAAAGTGATAGAAAAAGTCTAATTGCACATTTCAAAACATCACGAAAAGTTGATTTAGAATAGTATATTTTTGTTTCTGATGAAAGTTCCTTGTAGTCCAGTGTATATAACTTATAACTTTGTTAACTGTTATAACTTTGTCAAAAATGATTAAATCAATATAATTTTTTTTTATTTAGATGCATGTCTTTATCTATCATTTGGTATATTTTTTTTGTAATTCTGACACTTAACCTGCCCACAGGGGGGGATTTAAAATGATAACTTTTTTTTTTTAGTTAAAGTAAATCATTAAAATTAATTCAGTTCTGGATATTTCAATTGTAGAATCTTTTTAAATACCAAAAATTACTGAGAAATGATTACTATGAGTTCTATTTAAGTTTTCTATTACGATAAAAATGCAAAAAAATAATGAGTTTTTCTGATAAATATACTGTAAATAGTAATTATAAAATTTCCTGACTGCATATTAATCTTAAAAATAACATTGTTTTAATTCTCATAAAATTTTCTATTTAATGATTCCAATTTCAAACTTGTAATTGAGCTAAAAGAGTATGGTAACTTATTCAATTTTTTTTCTGTAAACTTTCACAAAACTTTATCAAAAATTTTTCATCAACTTTAAAGAAACCAAAAAAATAGGTTAAAAATGAAAATTTGATTATTTTTAACATATTAAAAATCAAATCAGTAATAATTTGAAAACAATTTTTTTTCTCTTTTAATTATTATTTTATATGTAATTAGTAATAATATAAAAAATTAGAAGTGATAGAAAAAGTCTAATTGCAGATTTGAAAACAACGCGAAAATTTGATTTAGAAAAGTATATTTTTGCTTCTGATGAAAGTTCCTTGTAGTCCAGTGCATTTATTTATAGTAACCAATAACTTTTAATAAAAATTATTGTATCAAGCCCTTTAAATTTTTATACACGTAAAAGTAAAGCAAAATATAACTTCTTTATTATTTTTATAATTTCTCCGTTTAAATTACAATATTAAATNATGGATCAATACAATTTTTTCATGAGAAGTAGTATTTATATACATCTTTCATTCGATATATTTTTTTTTTAAATCAGACTATTTCCTTATAAACGGGGGTGTTCAAACCTGAAAAATGCATATAGAAAGTAGAACTTTTTCAACTTAACTTTAGAAAATGTTCCGGAAGGTCTGACACTTTTATATTTATCTTAAATTAAAGTTAATGTAATGTACTTTATTATGGAAAAAAAAAATTTGACCTCTGGACTTGTCTTCGTGGTGAAAATAGACATCAAAGTTAATAAAAAATTATGATTTTTGTAAAATAATTCTTTTTTATATTTTTAACTTAATAATTAACTTTTTGGAAAATGTATGGATCAGTAAATTTTTTTTTTTTTTATAAATGCTTAATGTCTTTACTTATCATTTGGTATATTTTTTTTGTAAATCTGACACTTAACCTGCCCACAGGGGGGGATTTAAAATGACAACTTTGTCACAAAAAATTAACTTTTTTAACTTGACTTTTGAAAATATTCTGGAAAATCTGACACTTTTATATATATCTTACATTAAAGATAATGTAATATACTTTTTTATGAAAAAAAAAAATTTGACCTCTGGACTTGTCTTCGTGGTGAAAATGGCTACCGAATGCTATTTTTGTGTGCAAATTCTCGATTTTTTTTTTTACATTTTTACTTTATGAGAAATAATATTTTTTTATAATCCCTTTTTCATTCGACATACTTTATCTTAATCAGGATATTAATAAGGAACTAGCAGATCATGTAGCTTTTGGAATAATACACCAATTTTTTAAAATTAAACACTATCTAAAGATTTGCATCAAAGCGTTTTTCTTTTGATAGTGATTATAATCACTGTCAGATATCATTATACTTGATCCAACTAAGCCACGTCACCACTGTGCCGCGATCCCCCTGTGCTGGGTTTTTTTATGTATAACATCCACTCTTAAAACAACTACTTGTTCCATAGAAGACAAAACACCTACATAGATCAGTAAAATTGGCTATAGTATCCACACACCAATGTATAACGCGTTATCTAATGAGCTTGGTAGGTTGCCTTAAGATACATGTAAGTCATGCAATTAGTAATTTGTAGATATATACCTGATTCTTGGATTGTATCACGTGATTTAAGATGCATAAAAGCACAAAATGGTTTTCGACATCCTGTTGGTTGTTTTTCCCAATAACATGGAATAGCTTTTCTATTTTTCTGTAAATAAAAAAATGTTATGATTATCTTAGAAATATAGAAATACAGAAATTAAAAAAACTTTTTTTTTGTAAACCTACAACAGTCATGTATATAGGGAATAAGAATTGTAATGTTTGTTCTGCACATAGTAATCCTATATTAATACTACTATACTTTGTAATCTAACAAATTATGTAATATTATCTTTAAAAATCATATTTCTAACATCTTTTCTGAGATGAAAATCTAAAAGTGTATACAATTTTTATAAGAAGCTTAATACTATAAAATTAAAGAGATTTAAAGTAGTATTATAATTAGTTTTTTAATTGAAAGATAGAATTGAACTTAATCAGTTAGTTAGAACTCTACTTTCATATAATGTAACTATTTAATTTACTTTCAATTTATTAATATTTAATACTGTAAACTGATAAACAAATTTTCAAGATTAATATAAAAAATAAATAAGATATACTTTTAATTCCATGTGACGTAATGTGCAATGATCATTCTCACAATTTCCACTTTGCCAAAAACTACATACCATTTCACATCCTAATGCTTGAGGTTCATGGCGAAAAGGACATTTTTCTCCCTAATGAATAAAATGTAAGTATTACATTTATATTAATATATTATTTTGTAATCCAAGCTTTTAAATCAAATATTTACCTTCATACATGTTGAATAGTAAAAAAAGTAGCAATCGTTATTTTTTTTATCATTTTTTTCCATTGTATATTTTTTACTGGTAAATATGTTCTAAGGTTTTTTTTCAAAATATTTAGCTAAAACTAAAAATAAAGTATTAGTTAAATTTTATACTGAAATTCAATGAAAAACTCAACATCCTTCATATTTTTTAGTTAAACCACCAGATTTTAGGGGTTAATTTAAAAGTTTTTATTAAAAGTTCACTAAGAAAATATTACCCCACTTATGTATAACTTCCTTAAAATCGATTCGTCCACGTTTACTTTTTAAGCAAAGACAGGCGGCGTTCTAAGCACGAGAAAAAAGTTTAACTTTGATAAAATTAAGTTTAAGATCTACCTACAGGATGCCAAGTTGTTTTTTTTTCAAAACTTGTGATATTTAACTTTGGTACCGCATTGACATAACTTACATCGCTTACGATTAATGTAGCAAAGACCTATCGTGATTGCTGATTTTTATAATAAAGTACAATGGTCTAACAACTGAAATTATTACCCAAAAACTGTAATAAGAGATAAAAATGTCAGAAAAAGAAAAATTTTGGTAAATTATCGGTGATTTTTTGGAAAATGGTAATAACCATTCATAGAGTAACACAATATGTAACCACTTCTCCTTAATCTCTTTGCACCTTATCACTCATTGTACCTATCATAAAGGTTACTATTGTTATCAATATTTATTTAGTAGCAAGCACGAATAGAATTATCTATAAATATTGTCGTTAGTCTAGAAATATTTTAGGTTAGGCTCTTATCACTTTTATAATATCCATGATGGGTTTTTTAATTTTTTGTCATTATTCAGTTGTATTTTGATTATTTCTTTTACTATTCGATTATTCTTTTATTAAATTAAATAATTGTTCATTTACACCGCATGAGATTGGAAAATCATTATTTTACCACTTCATTTTTTTTGTTATTTCCAAACAAATGTGTTAAACGCAAAAAGTATAAATGGCTGATCGTTTAACTCAACTACAAGACATCGTGAATCAGGTGATTATTCTTAATATTTTTCAAAAATTTAGAATTTAAATTTTATAAATTTGTTGAACCCAATTAATATTAGAATATTTTATTACCATTTTAGTAAAATTTTAATATGTATTAATTACATATGTGTAATCATTAAATCCTTAATCATTTTTTAAATTAATATTCTTATTAAATTTAGAAGTAGTCTATATCTTCAGAATAAAATGAATTGATTTTCAAATTGAAATTTGAATTATACAGAGCGTTTGTACATTAACAAATTATTCTAAAAGTTAAGAAAATATTCTAGAAGTTGATATGTAAGAAGCATATAATAATAATAAACTTAGGACAAAATCAGAGTATTTGATCTGATTTTATGATCTTTGTATTGTAATAAATGATAACATTGGTAATTTCTGTATTATCAAAACATAAAAAAATGAACTCAATATAATCTTAAAATTTAATATTTATTTTAGTTGCGATGCGAAGCTGAGAATGTATTAATTTTACTATGATGTGTTTTTTATTTATTTATTTTTTTTTTTTGTGTCTGTGAACGCTCAATCTCATCTCTCGCTGGACTAATTTTGATGAACAATATGTCGAAAGATCACAAATCGAATCTAGTCGAAGACATTACCCTCAAAAATAGAAAAAAATTTCCATCGTTCCTCGTAAATGGGAAAAATGTCCAAAAAAATTACAAATTTAAAAATCGCTAATTTTCGAAATTTTTAAAAAATTTTTTACTTAAAATATTCAAAATTGTGTGTGCTACTACTAGGCTATAATATTCAAAATTTTTTGGTAACATGTTGTAATCTTTTTAATAACTTTGTTTTAATTGGTTCATTTCGTTAAAGTAAATCATTAAAATTAATTAAGTTCTGAATATTTCAATTGCAGAATCTTTTCAAACACCAAAAGTTACTAGGAAATTATTATTATTACTTCTATTTAAGTTATCTATTACGATATAAATGCAAAAAAATATTGAGCTTTTCTGATAAATTTACAATAAATAGTAATTATAAAACATTCTGACTGCATATTAATCTTAACGGAACAATTTTTTTAATTCTTATAAAATTTTCTATTTGATGATGTCAAATTCAAACTTGCCAATTAAGCTAAAAGTTATGGTAAAATAAATTATTTTTTTTTATTATAAACATTTACAAAAATCAACTTTAAACGATTAAAAATATAGGTTAAATATGTCATTTTCCTTATTTTTAACATATTAATAATCAAAATCAGTATTAATTTAAAACAATTTTTTTTTGTTCTTAATTATTTTTTTTTATATGTAAATACTATTTTTTAATAATATTAAAACTAAAAGTGATAGAAAAAGTCTAATTGCACATTTCAAAACATCACGAAAAGTTGATTTAGAATAGTATATTTTTGTTTCTGATGAAAGTTCCTTGTAGTCCAGTGTATATAACTTATAACTTTGTTAACTGTTATAACTTTGTCAAAAATGATTAAATCAATATAATTTTTTTTTATTTAGATGCATGTCTTTATCTATCATTTGGTATATTTTTTTTGTAATTCTGACACTTAACCTGCCCACAGGGGGGGATTTAAAATGATAACTTTTTTTTTTTAGTTAAAGTAAATCATTAAAATTAATTCAGTTCTGGATATTTCAATTGTAGAATCTTTTTAAATACCAAAAATTACTTAGAAATGATTACTATGAGTTCTATTTAAGTTTTCTATTACGATAAAAATGCAAAAAAATAATGAGTTTTTCTGATAAATATACTGTAAATAGTAATTATAAAATTTCCTGACTGCATATTAATCTTAAAAATAACATTGTTTTAATTCTCATAAAATTTTCTATTTAATGATTCCAATTTCAAACTTGTAATTGAGCTAAAAGAGTATGGTAACTTATTCAATTTTTTTTCTGTAAACTTTCACAAAACTTTATCAAAAATTTTTCATCAACTTTAAAGAAACCAAAAAAATAGGTTAAAAATGAAAATTTGATTATTTTTAACATATTAAAAATCAAATCAGTAATAATTTGAAAACAATTTTTTTTCTCTTTTAATTATTATTTTATATGTAATTAGTAATAATATAAAAAATTAGAAGTGATAGAAAAAGTCTAATTGCAGATTTGAAAACAACGCGAAAATTTGATTTAGAAAAGTATATTTTTGCTTCTGATGAAAGTTCCTTGTAGTCCAGTGCATTTATTTACGGTAACAAACAGTTTTTATTAAAAATTATTGTATCAAGCCCTTTAAATTTGTATACACGTAAAAGTAAAGCAAAATATAACTTCTTTATTATTTTTATAATTTCTCGTTTAAATTACAATATTAAATTATTGAATATCAATTTCATACTAAATTTAATAATTATAATTAGTATTTATTCATATATTATATTTTAAAATCAAAGAACTACTAATTGGGATATAATCAAAGAAATAAGAGTTGATGTTGCTTTTGGAATAATCCTCCAATTTCTCTAAATGAAACACTATCTACAGATTTGCATCAAAGCGTTTCTTATGATAGTGATTTTAATCACTGTCAGATATCATCTATACTTGTCCCATCTATGCCTCGTCTACACTGTGCCTCGACCCCACTGTGCTACCGTTTTTTTTTTATATAGATGCGTGATATTATTACCTTTCATTTGGTATATTTTTTTTATAAATCTGACCCTTTACTTGCCCACAGGGAGGGATTCAAAATGACAACTTTTTTATAAAAAATTAACTTTTGAAAGTGTTTGGGAAATACTGACACTTTTATATATACCTTAAATTAAAGCTTATGTAATATACTTTATTATGGAAAAAAAAAATTTCGGACTTTATTTTGTCTTCATGGTGAAAATGGCTACCGAATGCTATTTTTGTGTGAAAATTTTCGATTTTGTATTTTCCATTTTTAACTTTATTATGCTATAACTTTTTGAAAAATGTTTAGATTCAATAACTTCAATAAATATCAAGGATCCCATTGCTGTAGCCTCCTCTTGGGAGAAGAAATTCATATTAATATTATTTTACTATGTGGTTTTTTTTTGTAGCTATCATTTATTTTCTCAGCTCTCACTGACCTACTTTTTTGACAAATTTTTTTTTTTAATTAAACACTATCTACAGATTTGTATCGAAGTATTTTTTATGATAGTGATTTTAATCACTGTCAAATATCATCTATACTGGATCCAACTATGCCACGACCCCACTATGCTACCACCCCACTGTGATGGGTTTTTTAAAAAGAAAAATTTTGTTACAGCAAGCAGATAATTTTTGTAATAGTATTGGTATTTTACAACAATCAGCTGTTCCATCTAAATTCTCAAATTTTGATCGTAACGGATCTCAAACTCCACAACAACAAGAAGGTAAAATAAAAAATTTATAGGAAGTTGAATAAGTACAAAAATTTTAAGTTAATGAAAATATTATTTTCTAGATTACACTACATTATTTTCCTCCTTGATTACTCGCTGTGCTAAAGATATTGATGCTCTGATTGAATCATTACCTAATGACGATACTTCAACTGAACTTCAAGTATTTATTAGTTGAGTATTTCTTTTTAATCTAGTTATTTTTATCTATATTTTATATTACAGGTAGCAAGTCTAAGAAGATTAGAGCAGGAAAATCAAGTTTCTGCTGAAAGGTTAGAAGACGTTGTTCGAAAAGGTGAACTCTTGTTAGAACAGATTCAAGCAGCTCTTTCTGATATTGCTCAGCAGCAATTAGATATTCAACAAAATAACGATAATAATACAACTTAAAAAGAAATCATAATGAAAGTAAAAAATAAGAAAAATGTGGCTAAAGTATTATCTGTCATCAGTAAAACACATAAAATTAAAAGAAATAAAATAAAACGTCTTACTGACAAAAAAAGCAAAAAAAATAAAAAAATATCAAAGAAAGTATTGATAGAGGCTGGTATAAAACCTGATTCAAAGAAATCTAAAATGACTATTGATAAATCATGTGCAACAAATAGTTTATCAAAATTGACCAATGTAAGTTATAAAGGAACACCATCGAATTCTACTCCTACAATCTGTAGGCCACAAAAAAAGTTTGATGGAAATAAAAATCAAACATCATTTCTTAAAAGAATGAAAGATAAATTGAAAAGTGCAAGATTTCGGTAATTATTTCAAAATGTTTTATAAATCTTTTCATTGAAATTACATTTAATAATATTTTATTTGATAAAATGTAGGTATTTGAATGAACAGTTCTACTCCTCTACAAGCCAAGATGCTTTGACATACTTTAAAAAAGAACCTGATGCGTTTAAAGCTTATCACAATGGATATATGCAACAAGTCAAACTATGGCCAGTGAAGCCATTAGATATTATAATAAAAAAACTTGCACCAATGTATGTTAAACTTATTGTATTATTTTATCATATAAATACAAACGCTAGGTTTTTATATAATTTCATTTTTAATACTATGTGTAGGCTTAAAAAGTCTAGTGAAGAAAATCCAATTATTGTGGTAGATTTTGGTTGTGGAAATGCCAAACTAGCTCAAACATTTTCTAAAAATAAAATCCATTCTTTTGATTTAGTAGCTGTTAATAATTATGTCACAGCTGGAGATATGGCTCATACTAACCTTACTAACGCGTCTGTTGATGTGGCAGTATTTTGTTTATCTCTTATGGGTACAAACCTACAGTCATTTATTAAAGAAGCAAATAGAGTTCTTAAAATTGGGTGAGTATTATTTTTGAATTAAATTAATTAAACAAGTTATTTTTATTATTTTGTTACAGAGGCATTATGAAAATAGCTGAGGTGGAGAGTAGATTTGATAATATTAATACATTTGTTTTACAATTAACAAAATATGGATTTGAAAGTATCAAAATAGATAATTCAAATGAAATGTTCATATTTATGGATTTTAAAAAAATTCAAGATATTAGTAAGACGGCCTTAAAAAAGAAATTGCCAATATTAGAATTAAAACCTTGTATTTATAAAAAACGCTAATTATGGAATATCGATGAAGTATTCCTATACATTTTTCATCAAATATGTACATATCTGAAATTGGTGTAAAAATTGAAAAGTTTTCATCTATTGAGTTGTGTATAATTATTTTTAAAATGTCTACAATTTATTTTATTTTATGAATAAAATTGACCCAGCCGTTTTAAAAACTTATAAAAATATGGAACTTATTTTAGCATTATAATAATAAATATTTCTTGAATCTCCTTGTGAAATTAAAATTAGAGTAATTTTTACAAAAATTCACATAATCTGGTATTTTATTTTTTGTTTGTGTCATTTAAACTTATAAATTTTAATATATATATATCATGTTATCAATAGATCATTAATTAAATATTTGTATGAGATTGATTTATTATTGTCCATTAGAATTCTTCTGATATAATAATAATAATTAATTTGTAAATTTTTTTGGTTAAATATTCTTTATATCCAATTTTTAGAAAATAACTGGTTGATAATAACTTTTGGACAAATATTTTGGTTACAGATATTTTTACTTTGGTTGTAGGTGAAGTGCAGAAAAATGATACATTATGATAAAAAATCATAGTTCACACCTCTTCTCAAATCTGCATTTAAAAACTTCAGAAATACTGGTTCAAAAGTAGTTATCAACCAGTTATTTTCTTAGTGTAATTATATTCTAACTTTTAAGATATTAAAATATATTTGTTAGTAAAAATTAAGTTGGTAGTCTTATACAGAAAATGTTATAGACTTAAAAAATACTTAAGCATTTAGAGATCAAGAAGTAAAAAATATATCACGCTTTATCATTTATTTTCCTAGTTTTAAAGTTTATAATAGGAAGTACCAGTATAATTAATATAATAGAATCCTGAATAATTCTAAAAACTAAAGACAGTAAAACTTCAATACAAATTCTAGGTATTATATAGGGGTCAAATTTTGATATTTTTTATAACCTTTGATTCAGCAATTATTTTTCAATGATTTTTTTTTTTAATAACTTACTTAAACATTTTCAAATAGTTATTTTTAATCCTTTATCTTACAAAAAATATTGATGGGTTCATTACATAAATACTTGTTGAGATATAAGCACATAGAGTGGTTACAGACTAGTAAGACTGATATATATTTATAATGTATACTTAGCATATACTACATAATCTATGTATTAAAATGTTTGTAATTCAATAAGTAATTAATCGAAAGTTGTTATTGACCAGTCAACATTTTTCATAATAAAAAAAAATTAAAAAGGACGACTTTAATTTGCTAAATCAAAAATTATCGAAGATGTAAAAACCTAGTATGATACCTGTATGTATAGTGAAGTAATCTGTAAAGTTCAATAAAAAAAGTTGTCCTTACAAATGATAATATCTAAAATGATAAAATAATTTTAAGTTAATGATCAATTGTGGAGAACATACCTGCTTGTTTTATTTAAACAGTTAAGTTTAATTTAGTTAACGCATAATTTAAATTATAGATATATACAAAAGTAGGTACAAATAATAAAATAAGGTATTAGGCTTTGTATAAGATCTAGCTGGTTAGGTCTTATTACTTGCACCTACCTTAGTTATTGTTATATAAAAACAACACAACAACAGCTTTAACAATGTAATTCAAAATGTTTGAGTACATATTTAATATTTATAATGACAATTTTGAAAATTAAATAACTACATTATTTATAAATGAAAACTGTACTTAATTTAAGTGTTAAATTAATTTAAAATACTCAAAACCTATTATACTTAAAATGGGGCTCAAAAAAAAAAAAAAAAATTATTATTATCTATAAATTGGACTTAGAATGATTTCAGTTGTATAACAGATTACTATATAATTTAAAAAAAAGAACAATTAAAATTGACCTAAAATAATCAATAGGATTCATAAAATTTATTTTTAAAATAAAAATTAAGTTTAACAAACTTGAAACAACGGTGTTAATAGACAATTCAAAATATCGTAGTATTTACAACATTTATACTCATTACAAGATAATTATCGATTTATTTATTTTTAAATAATTAGTAACATTATCTTTTTATATTAATACATAGGGTCACGATTAGTTTATTGTAAGAAAATATGCATAAAGATATATACATTGACAGTCTTTTATGTTGTACATAATTAATATAGACTTATTATAACAGCATCTGTAAGTGGTGTTATAGAAAAAATTTTTATCGCCACTGGTAGGAATGTCATATGGCAAAAATGAAACTCAAGATGGCACAACATTCAACCAGTTTAAAAAAATCCTGGATTTGTGTGTTCAATAATACAACGTTTGCAGAATTTCTTAACAGCCTTGTACCCATCCAAAGATATCTGACAGTCTTGAATATTAAGCTGCTGTAAACCACGACAGTAATACGCTATCAGTTGAATTCCACGGTCTGTTACTAGATCACAGTTTCGTAGACTGAGTTTCTTGAGGTTAGGACAACTCTCAGCAAGCGCCCTGAGACCAGCATCACTAACATCGCATTTGCCAATGTCTAGAGCTCGAAGTCGGGCACAGGATCGAGCGAGTACTGTGATGGCGTCGTCGCTAACTGCTTCACAACCTCTAACATTGAGATACCTCAGCTTGTAACATCGACGTGCTATCACCTTCAATCCAGCGTCGCTCACTTGATCACACTTGGCCACTGAAAGGTAGCGGAGTAAAGCTCCCAACTTGGCTAATTCGTATAAGCCGAAATCAGTGACTTGATGACAATCCGATACACTTAACTCCTTGAGAGCCGAACAGAAACTTGGAACAAATTTAATACCCGCATCTGAAATATAAATAAAAACAAATTAATAATTTGTTTGATTAAAAAAAAATAATTGTTATCATAGATATTTAATTAGCATTTGTATAAGAAACATAGAAGTATAATATATATAATAAATTTAACATGTATATTCTGCATTTTCAATAGGAAAATCTACTTAAAAAATTATTGGTTGATCACAACTTATAAACTTTTAAAAGAAGTAAAAATATTGATTTCTTCTTAAAGCTGTGATCAACCAGTTATTTTTTAACATGAAACCAAGTTAAATATACATATTTTTAAGTAAAAAATACATTAAAAATAATTCATAAATAAAAAAATTTTTAAAATAAAAACCAAAAATTCATTTTTTTTTTTTAATTGAATAATTGAGTAGTTTATAGTAAAAGTATGACAGTATATATTTAAAATGTTTTATTGAATCATTTAACTCAAGAAATGAAATGCTGATAGCTGAGTTAAAGATTGTTCTTTATATTTTTATTAAAGTTGTGCGACATTCAAATTTTAGGTAGATTTTAATAAATGTATAAAATGTAAAGATGTCAGTTTAATATTATTATTTTAGATTGTAAAATATCAGATTTTCAGTTTTACTAATCGTTTTAAGTATTAGCAAATATATAGTTTTAGACTTAACAGTTGAGTTTTTGACCTAAAATGTGTATTAGTCTACTATTGACGATATAGAAATGTTAACTGTAAATCATGGATAAAAAATATATACTTTGTTCACTAGTCGACTTGCGATATAACGAAAAATTAAATGGATCTTGGCCCTATCGATATAACGAAGTATTTTTAATTTTCTAACATATATTTTTTACATATTTATATATATATTATTAAACGAAACCGAATATCAATTTGTAATATACTAATTTACGTTAGTGTTAGCGCTAGATATTTCGGACCCAATGCAAAAATGTGTTATACGAAACTCATTTTATTTATTTAATAAAAAAATACTGCTAAAATGAAAATGTTTAGATTATTAAAATACCTGTAACTTTTGTACACCTCCTTAGGTACAAATAGGCCAGTTGTGAACAATTGCTGACGATCACAGATAAATTGTCATCGTCCACGAGATGGCAATCGGTTAGGTCCAAGTATTGCAGACTCAGTCTTAGAGAGGGTTCAGGCCGACTGTGTATTCCAATAGTATATACTTTGACACAGCCTTAACATAAATTACATATGCTTTATTATTCATAGAACTTTAGGTAGTTTTTTTCATTCAACTAAAAACCTTTAATGATATTATTGCGGCCTACCACAATAAAGTAGGTACAGAAATGTCAAATTTACCTTATCAGTCCAACAATTTAACTAAAAATACTATTTAATTCTCCTAAATGTCCGATAAATATTGTTATTTTATATAACAGTCAGTCAGTTGAAATATTATTAAATTAATAGTTCGTACATGTTAAATGTCTCAACTGATTATAATAACAATAAATATTATTTAAAAGTATCACTCTCACGAGCAAGTAAATTTTTATAGGTATTACGTTTGACAGCGAGAGCAGTGTATATAAGTACCATCTATATAAGACTTGAATTAAAAAAATCAAGCATTGTATAATATAAAATACAAGTAGTGTGATCCGTGAAAACAGCAAAAGAACATTTTATTTTTTTAATTATACACCATGAGATTTTATAGACACGAATTCAAATGCAGAGCCACCACAAATCGATGGATCAATCAATTGGATTTCGGGCTCTTAAGAGACCCGAAACGCGTTTTAATGATTTTTTTATTTAGTCATTTGTTATAATTGGAGTTTTTTTGGGATTAGTTTTGCTGGTGTTATAGCCCAAAAATATGTGTTAAGACCAGAGGTATCGTGGAGCGTATACCCACTGTTAGTTTTCTTATTAGTGCATATACGTATTTATAAAATAATTAAAGAGTATAGACTAAAGAACGAGACTATTATCATTTTAAAAATAGAATATAAATGTAAAACAAAACACTGTCAAAGTGTATAAATAAATATCAATAAAATAAATAGGATAATGTTTATCATTTCACGAAAATTTTATTGACATTTGACAAAATTTAAAACATCGACCAGAAATTAACGATATAGCACATACTAAGTTGAAACTGAAAGTTATTGGGTTAACCTATAGCTGTTGAAATTGGTAATTTGTATTTTTCCATAATAAACCGTTTACCAACCAATCTAGTATTTAATATATTACCTATAATGAATTAAGATAGTACTAACATGTACCTATTCACGTTTATTTCATTTATGTTTTAACGATTTGAAAACAATGATTGTAAGATTATTTTATTACTGCATAAAGTTTATTGTTTATTTATAAAAAATATAACAGTATCTAATAATACATTTATCGATTGTATGATTATGAAATTTAATTTATGTAAGAACTTAGAAGTGTCAGTAAAAATATTCGAGTAATAGTTTGGAAGTTGGAAGGAGCAACTGGGAGGGTTAGGAGTTTTAGTTGCATTATGTAATAATTAGAAAATACATATACAGTTAAAACATCACAATATTTGTATTCCGTCCCCCAAAACTATGTTATAGTTAAGGCCTTTGAAAAGTAGTGTGGGGGTGAAATTCCCCACGTTTCCTCATTTAGGTTTTTAACTTATCTATTGATCAAATTACGACTATATCACTGTTGATAATGTGAAATATTGTATGTAGAAAATATAAAGTGCAATGGGGGGTATGGGGGGCAGAGCCCCCCACGTTATTCTCTATTCATTACATAGGCGTATATCCATAAACATTTTTAGGACTACACCACTGGTTAAGACTCTGATCATTTTTCGATAATTAACTACATTTTTTGAAATATGGAGCACAAATTATTTAAAGAAAATTGTTCAAAAGATACTCAGTAATAAAATTTAAAAAGGAAAAACTGTTGTGAATTTCTCCATAAATAAAACCAGGTTTCTTGAAAAGTATAATTCATTAACATAAATCGAATTAATGAATAAATTGATAGTTTTGCTGTTGAGAAAATTATTTTATGACAAAATTTATTGGGATATTGAGTAGGTTCGTTTTTCTTTATTCACATTTTGATTTGTTTTAAGTGGGCGATAACCTTTAATTTCGAAGCATACAACAGTGCAAACATATAATTACAAAAGTTATAATTATATATTAGAATTTCAATGGAAAATAAAATTTTGAATCTAATACCAGCTTTCAATAGAATATTGAAACGATTCTTGTGCGATATCATGACCACGCCCTCCTATAATTTTTTGCACGTCTCACAAAAAATGATTTATTATAATTATAACTTAACTTAAATGTTAAACAACTAAATTAATACGTAATTTTAAAAACTCCGGTAAAAACAACTAAATTCCTTACACACATAAACCTCATAATTAATTGTGATATATTACATGGATTTTATCTAGAAAATGATTATTAATTAGTACATTTTTATGAGTATATACTTTTTTCAAAAGAATTTTTGTATAATTAAAACTAAATTTAGGAAGAAAATAAGAGTATTATGTCTATTATATGTTTTGTCTCTATAAGTAACAATGGTAACTTACCGGTAACATCTAAGTGTTGCAGGTTGGGACAGCGGGCGACTAGTTCAGAAATGGCAGCATTGGTGATGTTGGGACTGGCATGCAATTGAACATGCGTGAGTTCGGGACACCTTCGGGCTAAAGCAATTAAGCTTTTATCAGAAATTTTCGTGCCATCGCTGAGGAACAATCGTTGTACTTGCGGGCACGCGCCTGTCCTAGTCTGACCACAAAGTCGGCGCAACACGCATCTGATTGCTTTATCACCGCAGGTGCTTTCGCCGGTCAGCGTTATCGTTCTCCATAAGACTGGCTCCCACGCTAGATTTTCCCATCTATGACAAACAGCGGCGCATGAACAGAGATCCGCACTTCCAAGATATGAGAAGATTTTAAGAACCAGCTCATCGCGAAGTCTATCAAAGTGACAACTACTCGTAGTCCGAATTTGGGACCGTCTGTGCTTTGTTGTTGGTTGCAACGAAAGCGAACTGGCAGTACTGACGACTATTCCACAATTGTCATTACCACTTGTTACTAGCGTATGATATCCTTGGTCCAGGCACGGCGAACTACAACGCAAAGTCGTTGGACTATAAGTGAAACTAGTCTCAGCCTCTAATACGGTGTAAGGACGATATGAACCGCTCCGAACAGACGGCGTAAATTCTAACGACCCAGGAGACGAACGCCCCAACTTGGAAAGCGGGCATGTCACTGGTGACAAACGACCCACATACGTCATTCTTCGATAACGACTCCCACCTGAAAAACATGAATCAATTTAGATTCTGTGGGAGAACATGTCATTACAATTGCAGCTATTATGTTTATAGTTTTTAAAACACGTAAGTAGTATGGTGAGTAAAAGGATAAGTTTATTAAGTTAAAAATCAGTTCTCTTCACTGCATGAATTATGTCGTATAATGTATTATAAGTTGACACACATATAGATCATACGAACTTATAAGATTCTTTGAACAATATTGGACTGAGCAGAATGATTTATTATCATTTCTTTGTGGTACATAATTTATTTGTTTGGTCCAAGAATATTATAAACCAAAAAAATAGCATTCAATTCAACACTTGGATTACATAATTTTTTAAAAAATCAACAAGTTTAAATTTAACTAACAAGTAGTAAGTAGTATAACCAGGGATAGAAACCGAAATGATTTAAGTTTTTCGCAAATTTTTACTATATCTATTAACTAAGAATCAATATTTTTTAAAGAATTTGTAAGGTTAATAATTGTTGAAACCCAGAATATTATGAAATCCCATTTCATAATACCTTTATCTGACCTTATAAAATTTAAACGCAATAAACATAAAAAAATAAGGGTTAAGTTGATTTTCAATGCAGTACAATACTGAACCTTATAATGGTGTACACATAACAAACAGATTCATGTAATAGTTTTAGACTGTTTCTTTAGTAAATAATTTGGTAAAACAAAAGTTACGAAGTAAAGATATAATATTTAGAAATCTGCTTCGACAGATTTTTTAACTATTCTTTTTCCCTTATAAGAACTACAAGATCTATGTCCGCAGAGACTACGATAACTGTATAATATCGATTTCACATGAGTGTTTATAGGATCATATAAATATTTGCTACCAGAGGCAATTCGAATTCGACCTAATGAGAGTGGTAAGGGGGGCAGAAATAAAGAATGTTGATACCCAAAGGCTAAACCCATTTTTCGTTAGGTTCAAATATCACTTTAGTATAACGAACGCGTTTTGTTGTTGTAAAAATCTTAAAATAATATTTATTTTCTATGCTCGAACTTACTGTTTCAAGGTTAATTACAACGACTGTGAATTATATGCTTTTTTAAATTTTGTCAAGTTATGCCGAACACAATATCAGACAGTACAAATTTTTATTAATTGACTTAATTAAAAACTTAGTATTGTTTTTTTCCGATGTTATAGTTTTGAGAGTGATTAGGGAAGTCAATTCCCCTATGAAACGAAAAATACTTGGCGTTACTATATAATCCTACAACAAAGTTGTCCAAACTTGGGACCCTTCTAAGTGACTCAAACAAAATTTATAAATTCATATAATTCACAGCCCTAACATACTAAAATAACATACTATGTAGCAATATGTACATTTTTTTCCAATTTTATAAAGAGAATTACATTGCTTTGTAGTACGTTGTTCCACAATGAAGTCCATAAATCATTACATATCACTTTTTTGAGTAATATTAATTTTTACAAATTGCTACATAGAATGCTGTTGCCGCTGACCTTTTAATTACTGATAGTAATTTTTTCATATATTATCATGTTTAGACTAGAAAAAAAATATATAAAAAGAGACGCTATGAACTTCAAATTAACTTTTTAGATATTGAATTTTCTTCCAAATATTATAAAAATGAAAATGAAATTTAATATGTTTCTAAGAATACTTTCAGAACTTACTCTAGAAAATTAACAAAATTGAAGTTTATATCAAATAGTCTATAATGTAATAGAAAAGTTTTATTTTTTCGCTAAATTGCTCATCAATTTATTTAATTTGTATAATAACTAAAAATTTTATACCACAAAAAAATTAGGATAATTTGGTTATACAAAACCTATAAGTTGACGTCTCATGAATTTTAATAGAAATTTTTTTAATGAAGTCTATAACTTAATTCATGCGGTTTGTTAAGAGATGGCGTAACTTGATTATTATTCCATCGTTCCAATATTCCGTTGAAAAGCTACTGTCATAATACGTCTTAATCAGTATATGTCATTCATTCAAATTTTTTTTCACTCAAATATGTCGAAATTTGTGCCTGAAAAAGTGATTTTGCGGGGAGTTCTTCTTCATTACTTTAATATGAAAAAAACTGCTGCCGAAAGTCATCGTATTTTGGTGGAAGTTTATGGTGAACATGCTCTAGCTGAGCGAATGTGCCAAAAGTTGGTTTACACGATTTAAAAGTGGTGATTTTGACTTGGAAGATGAAGAACGTCCTGGGTAGCCAAAAAAGTTTGAAGATGGAGAACTGGAAGCATTACTCGATGAAGATTGTTATCAAACACAAAAAATGCTCGCAGAATCTTTGGTAGTCACTCAAGCAGCAATTTCAAAACGTTTAAAAGCAACTAGATACATTCAAAAGCAAGGTAATTGGGTGCCATATGAATTGAAACCAAGAGACGTCGAAAAATGATTTTGTATATCAGAAATACTGCTTGATCATTACAAAAGGAAGTCGTTTTTGCATCGTATTGTGACTGGTGTTGAAAAATGGATCTATTACAACAACCCCAAGCGCAAAAAGTCATATGTGAAACCTGGCCAACCAACCAAATCAACGGCAAAGTCAAATATCCATGGCGCTAAGGTAATCCTTTGTATATGGTGGGATCAGAAGGGCGTGCTGTATTATGAGCTGTTGAAATCGAGCCAGACGATCACAGGGGACCTCTACCGAACACAAATGATTTGCTTGAAGAGAGCAATTGACAAAAAACGCCCGGAATATGCGACCAGACACAAGAATAATTCAATAATCAATAATTTTCCATCATGACAACGCTCGGCCTCATGTTGTAAGACCGATTAAAAACTATTTAGAAAACAGTGGCTGGAAAGTTTTGCCCGCCTTATAGCCCAGATATTGTCAATTCTGACTACCATTTATTCCGATCGATGCAGAATGCCCTTTCTGGAAAACATTTCACCAAAGATATCGAAAATTGGCTTGATTCATTCTTGGCTGCCAAGCCGGCGCAGTTCTTTTGGGATGGAATCCACAAATTGCCAGTAAGATGGGAAAAAGTTATAACTTCGGATAGGCAATATTTTGAATAACCCTATTGTACATGATTTTCTTAAATAAATATTCAAATTTTGAAAAAAAAAACCGCACGAATTAAGTTATAGACCCCATAAATATTTTCAATATTATTTAAATCCTTAATTATCTATGCCAAAGTTTAAAGCTGATAAACACACATAAGTATCATATAATTATATAATATTAAATTATGTAGTCGGCGTGCTGTAAAAAGAGACTATGAAATAATTGAAATAATATTATTTTATGATAATCAAGAGATTACAATAATTTGGCAATAGGTTTTTTCCTAAAAAGACATTAATGAATAATATTTGCTAATTTACACAACATATACATATTTGTAAAAACCGGATTTTATAAGAATTTTATTTTATAGGTTAAGTATAAATTACTAAAACACATATTTATTATACTCAATTGCTTGATAGCTCATTTATTTTTTAACTGGAAATAAAATAAAATAATTTTACTATTTTATCTGAAGTTCTACTCAGATACTATTAACATTTTAACGTCGAAGGCAATACTCATTTCATCTTATAAAATGTTTTTATTTTCATGCTTATATAATTAAATTGCTTCTCATAAAAAACATTCTAAAATAATAGTAAAATATATAGTTAGGTGGGTGAACTGGCTTCTTAATAAATCACTAGCGGTTTCACAAATAAAACTTCTGCTTTCTATATAGATTTACAATATGGTTTGTATAGTAAAATTCAATTTCTATATACAGATTCATTATAAAAAACTATATTTCTTAAGAATACTGTAAAAAACCGACAGATTCCTAAAATTCTACAATTTTATAGCGTATTTAGAAATAATATGTTTTTTTTTCTCTATACTAATAATAAACAAATAGATGATAATAATATACGGTACATTAAGACTTAAAGTTCAAGTTTTGAATATAATAATTATTTTGCAGATTACAAGTTTGTACGGCTACAAAATTATTAATTAACAATTCAAATATGAGTTAAAAAATCTTTTTACTAGCATGTCGAACGTCATGTTATCATATTACGTAACAAAAAAATTGAATATATTTTTAACAAGTGAACAATGGAGTATTTAACGAGGTTTTTACCCTCCATTGACATAAATATCATAGTGATGGCGAATGGAGAGGTATCTACATCACTACTCTCTACTTTTTGACAGTTATCTGAAACTACTCACATAAAAAAAAATATTAAATACATCACTTCAAGAGATAATCTATAAATTTTTAATTCTCATATATTTTTTTCTTCTTAAGAAACTATGTAGCTTAGTAAAAATTACTATGTATGATTTTTTAGTGGTCCAAGAAAAGATGTGTTGGTTACATTAAAAAATTTAATTTACCATTAGTAAATATTCGTTGCACATTAGTAACAGCGATCGTTATGAATAAAAATTCGTTTATAAAATATTTAAAAACTGGTTTTTAACTAAAAATCAGTTAGGGTATTTTTTTTACTGCTGTCATTGAAAGCATACATTAGCGATGGAAAAAGTCTGACTGATAGCAAATTAATGGATGAATATATTTTTGTTCAATGTAATTAATGTAAAACTGAAAGAGATTGGATTTTTACAAAGTGATCTCAAAAACTCAGAGGTAAGTGCTACTGTAGAGCAATTAACTAGTTTTTAAATAATATTATACACAATGAAAAACGTAATTATGGTTTATTCACTTTTCCTACAAGTAGTTTCACAATAATAAAAACCACTGGTTTTTGAGTAAATAAAGTTACGATTTTTAACCTAAATGATCATCATTTTTGTTCCTATTTACCCACATAAAAAAAATTAGTTGGGATTAGTATAGAGATATCTGATACTGCTTAAAATCACTATCGTAAGAAACGCTTTGATGAAAATCTGTAGATAGTGTTTAATTTTAAATTAATTTAAGAAATTGGAGGATTATATCAAAAGCAAAATTACATCTTATTTTTTGTTCAACTTTGACTGCCATTTGCACATAGAAGATAGGTCGACGGAACAAATTTTTTTTTTTAACTAATAGTACGTAACATAAGCTTTAATTTAACATATGTTTAAACAACGCAGTATTTCAGGAGTATTTTCAAAAGTTAAGTTGAAAAAGTTGCTATTTTAAATCCTCCCCGTGAGTAGGTACGAGTCACAACAAAAAAAAAAAATGAAGTGAAATGAAAGAAAATATTTAATGTTTCTATTTTAAAAAAAATATATTTTGGTACGTTTATTTTTCAAAAAGTTATTGCAGTTTTAATAGGAAAAAATGTCAAAATTTATCAATTTTAAAAGTTGTAATTTTTTTGGGGATTTTCTCCATTAACAGGAAAGGAAGAATTTTTTTTCAAATTTTTAAGAGCAATGCTTTCAATTAAAAATGAATTGTAATCATTCGACGCATGGTTAAAAAAAATCGGTTTGACGAGGGCTAAGAAAAAGTGGCGACAGACACAAAAAAACACATCATAGTAAAATTAATACCTTCTCAGCTTCCCATAGAAGCAAAAAAGGTGCTATTTTAACTGTGAATTAAATTTATTTTTAATAAAATCCACTGATTATTATTATTCTGATTTGAATAAATTTTTTTAAATAAAATATTCATAAATATTAGATCAGTGTACTTCAAAAAAATCTACTTTGAAATAGACGTAATTACAATACAATTTTTAGAGTGGCTATACCCTTTCAAACTCCCTCTACTAGATCTATGGATGCAATGTGCAAAGAAAACTTAGCATATTTTGGTAAAAGGAACGAAGAGAGTAAATAAATTGAATACCAAAATGTCGGTTTTGAGAAGGATTAATGTGTTCAAAACCCCCTTATAAAATAAATCTATAAGGACGTCTTTGTAAAAAAAAACTTTACATCAACCACTAATATTGTGTCTTCAATATTATCACATTTTCAATTAAAATGTTTTTAATTAAAATTTAATTTTTTTAAACAGCGCCACATTATGGCAGTTAATTTATTATACGTGTTCGTTAAATTAATTCTAAAACAAAACAACTGAATGCATAAAATTAGTCGTTGTACCTATGAAAACATGAAAAAAATGTGAGAATAAAACCTAACATTCCAATAACATAATTCTTTTATTGAAATACTTAATATTTTATGAGTATATCTTGAAGTCACAGTACACGGTTGGTTAAACCTTTGTGATGGATGCTAGGGATGACATGTCCGAGACTAATCCGATAGATCCTTCTTTAAAAACAAAATATTACATCATTATCTTACCCCTAAACTTACGTGCTTCAATACAAAGATTACCTCGTGTTTTTTACGTCTTTTAACATAGTTCTCAATTGTTCTTTATAGAAATTTCAAATGAGTCTAATCGTAATTTAAACCGGAAGATCGCAATAACAACCATGAAGTGAACCAATTATTCAAAAGTATATTTATGATACGCCGGTGTTCGTTTTGAAATTTATTTGACATATAACGAGTCCTTCGTCGTTGAGTAAACGGTGACTCAGCGGGGCATTATATCGTTCAAGACGTACACCACCCATCGTTGATTAATCATACTGACTTAAAAAATTCTAAAAAGAAGTTTTTCATAATAAAAAATAATAATAATACTAATAAATATTACTTATGCACAAACACATGTTAAAAATAGTAGTCAAACGAGTTTTAATTTGTTATTCCGAGTTACTTTAAAACGACAAACTGATCTAAAAGTGGAATACAACAAAAAATATTTTTTAGAAATCAAATCATTCTTCATTTGTTAGTTTTACCAGGAAAAGTCCAAGAAACTTTAATATTAGTCATTTAACGTCGTAAGCAGCGTTAAAGGACAGAAGATATTTTTTTAATTTGTTAAAAAACATTATTCAATAGGCTTCATTTATCTCATAAATATACATCAAAAAATATAGTTAAAAAGTTAGTTTTATTCTTTTAAAAAATCAATCTATAGAAACTTTTAAAGAAAAATATAAAAAATGGATACTTAATCATAATGATAAAAATAATAAAATGCGTTTTGTCGTATTTGATTATAGAATTAAGACTGGCTAAAACGACAAATCCGTAAGAATTATATTCATAATGAAAAGTGGAGGACATATTTTAACGAGTTTCTTATTTTTTTAAAACAAAACCTATTTTATAAACAATACGCTTTAACTGCGACTTTACAGTGATCTTATACTTGATGTTACAATATAATTTGTACAAAACTGGAGACTATATTTATTTAAAATATACTAATATTATTATTATTATTTTTTTTTCAATATCACCGATAAAAGAAATTTAAATACAATAAATGAGATTCAAGTTGAAACAAGTAAATGCAAAATACAACTTGAGAGATATTTTAGTACATTTATAGTACAGTTATATACGTGTGTTATACAATGGGAGGAATGAATATCGTATATTTTAGCTTTGATGCTGAGAAGGTTTTTCCATAATGTATTTTTTTTATGCCTGTTCATTAAATTTCTCAGCTTTCATTGAACTGATTTTAATTAATAATACAACAAAAGAACTTTTTCTAATCTAGTTTAATCTATCTACGTCAAAAATCGGAAAAACTCAATTTTATAAATTGAAAATAGTATCTTACAAATTACGACAAAATATGGCATATTTAAAAAATTTTTTTTTGCATTTTAAAAATATTATGACTTTTTTAAAAACATTGATATTTTATTAAGATACATTTAAGACATCAAGTTTTCTTTTGGTATGATTTTTGTGAAAATCCATCGGAAAACTTCAGTACAAAAAATGCAATTTGAAAGTTACCATATACGAATGTTAATCAATTATTTCTTCTCAATTTTTGAAAATAGCAAAAATATGTACTCAAAGAAGTGTTGTTTGTGAAACCTCAGAGTCAGAATAAGATACAATGGCGCAATAGGCTAACTGTTATTTTGGTTTCTTTATTATAATCAAATAAAACAATATTATTAATTTAAAATAAAGGATTTTTGGCCTAGTGACCTAATGATTTAACTTATCTTATCATTCAACAATATTCTTATACAGTATAAAAAATGTGTTTTACTGCACCAATACTTCAGTTCAAGAAACAAGTTTATAGTAAAATAAATGTTCTGTTTTTACTTTAAAAACAGAAAACTTAATTTTTTTAATTAAAGTACAAAATCTAATTTTCTAAACTTACTCTTAGACTTAATAACTTAACTCAAATTTAGTTTATGAAATTCATTACAAAACATAAGTATTATGTACTTTATTGTGTATAATAAATGAAATTTACAGTTTATTAGTATGTCTAGGATAAATGGACACTATACTAATATTTTCAACTCTATAATGGCAGTCGGTTTTATTTGCATTACGTATTGTATACACACAAAAATAAAATAACGTATAAGTTATTGAAAGACATCTATTAGTTTAATTATTAATATAAGAACTAATTACCTGATAAACGTTAGACATTTGTTTAATTATTCATATTGCCCCACAGAACATAATATCGATTTAAATTTATTTTTAGTGAAGAATTGAAGCATAAAAAAACTTTTCGACCCTAAAAAAAATTAAATATTTAGGCAAAAATAATGTTTTACTTAATCTATTAAATTATTTGGGCACTGCATATTTGGTGATGACCTTTACAAGATACGTACTTAGATATTTAATACACGGTTGGACTTATATTCTAAAGCAGTAATATTAATTTTATGTTGAAGACCTTAAATAATTATTTCAGGACTCCTTAAAGGGTCACAAATTATCATATTCTTTAAGTATTAAGTTTTAACAAGATACCAGCTAATTTGTAAGTTATTTAGAATGTAGAGAATATTTCTACAAACAATCTGAACGATATTTATATCAGCTGGTAGTTTTTATACTTAGTTTATAACCTAATTGATTTGAAGATTTCTTCATTTTATAGCATATCATAAAACAGTCTATATAGTTCGGTCAGGAATAGATCATATCTCAGTGCGCCAAGTATTAAAGTTCAATCCTATTTTCTCAAGTAGTATAGGTTTTCCTGTCTTTTTTGAAACAAGCACTTAGTAAATAATTCACTTACTTAAGTTTTAATACAAATCACAATAAAATTAGTTCATTGATTTTTTAAATGGACAAATAAAATGTCACCCAGTTGTATTATCAAGTAGTAATTCTGCTGAGATGGATATTGTAGAAATTGATTACTATTACAAAACAACTTTCTAGTTTTAAACATAGGCAAAATGTTTAAGGATGCAGATATAATGGCACTTCAAGAGTCTCACGTGCCAAGTAACGAGATAATCCGCTTGAGGGTACTAGGTTTTAACATTATCATTTTTAAAACGTTAAAAACATGTAAATCCCAATGTTGGAAAGCCAACGTTTGGCTTATTTGTGAAAAACAATAAGCCAACGTTTGGCTTATTTGTGAAAAACAATATATTATATAACGTATACAATATTTTACCAAAAAGGTGATCTAACTCAGTACTCCCATTCAAACAAAGTTCCGCAATTTATATGAGTGACTTTTATCGAATGAAGTTACTTAAGCGAGAACTAGGATGAAGCGATACTCTCTAGTTGGGCTACGCACTTCGGTCTACATTTGGTCTATAATAATAAGCAGAGTGGTACTTTCGAATCAGATAAGTGGGGGATAACTACCTCACTCGATATTTGTTTTATATCAAGAGACGAGGATGACTAATCTTTAAGATTACTTCCCAAAAGCCATCAAAAGTCAGTAGTTAGTTGGATTACAAAATTACCCCCGATTTGTAAAATGTTAAAAAAGCTACCTTGGCGATATCCAGATGACATAGACAGTATTATATACTATGTTGAAGCAAAGAGGTAACTCAATATTACATAAATGTGATCAAAATGGAAAGAAGGTAACAGCAAATCGATCAATGTCACTACTGGACTAAGAGAGAAGAAACAGATGTATAACTGCGATGAAAGGAATGGACTATACACATTCTAGAAAGATAAGCTGGTCTCTTCTGAGAAAGCTTGGCGCTGCACAGCCCTAAAATTGGATGTGTTGTAGCAATGATATCGCGAACATTATTTTCAAAACATTTTATATCAAACCACAAAAAATTTAAAAAAATGGAAGTAATTAAAGAGCTTGTAGAGGAGTTAAGGTAATGTAAAGAAAAGTTGGTACTTATGTCAGACTTCACTGATAAAGAGGTCTATAACTCTCCAAAAACACTAAAAAACAGAAAAGCAGCTGGAAGAGATAACTTCCTGCCAGGCTTTCTTAAAATCCTTGGAGCACAGTAGGATTGCAATATAATAAAATAGTACACGAGAATATTCCCCCAAAATTATGACATGAAATGAAAGTGATAGCTATATTCTCACACCAAATAAAAAAGCTATCAACCCTAAAAACTACTGGCCTTGTCAACAATGTACAAACTTTTCGTATCTTAGCTCACTTACCATCATTAATGGGAATATCCCTACCAACAGACGAAGCTGGATAAGAAAAACAGAAATTGTTATGATCAAACTCTTGCACTAGTAAATGGTTTCTAACATTAGGAGAAATCTAGCGCAGTCTTTCTTGACTTATTATCTATGTATGATACCGTCTACAAGAAAAGGTTACTATTAAAACTGACAAAAATATTATAGTGCATAACGACAATTAGACTTCTAGAAAATTTACTATCAAACAGAAAATTCCGTGCATTTCTTAATGGGAAGGTAAGCGGGCACAAATTTCTCTAGAATGGACTATTTCAAAAATCTACATTGTCTCCAATTCTTTTTAATGCGTACATGACTGATATCACCGATACGGTTTTGAGAAAATTTGCGGATGACGTGGCGATAGCAGCACGAGCTAAGATATTCGTAGCATTAGAGCATACGTTGAATGATCTAATAAAAGCACAAACATTTTTCCGGAAATTACAATTAACACTAAACTTAAGTATGTCGTTAGCAATCCATCTCAATAATAGACAAACAGAGAACTACACAAAATATCACTTCTGATACTTAGATACTTAGGGATGAAGTTTTATAGAACTGTAACATATAATAAATATTTTGAAGATGTCAAAAATAAACTGAAGACACAATATAACGACGTTATGGTTAAATTAGACGGTACTAGCTGGGGTTAACACACAAGTGTTCTAATAATTACAGAGCTCATTTTGGTGTTTATCGTCACTGAATATTGTGCATTTGTGTAGATTATAAGTGCTCATTGTAGGAATGTTGATATACAATTGTACCATACTATGCGCTTCAAACCAGTTATTATTAAATCAACTCAAATAGAATGGTTACCCATTTTATATAGCTTCTCCAGATCTAAGAAGACTAGTCCCTACTAAAAAAAAAATTAACAGCCAACTAAATTTACAATTAAAATTACGCTAAAATCACTACGTTTGTGGTCCAGAGACTCCATATGGTTCACAGAAGCAAACGATGAGACTACACAGTGTTTATGGAAAAGAAGATGGAATCTAACAGATACTCGTAACCAATACCTGATTATTGAATATCTCATAAAAGATCCTAGCTGGGATTTTAAAAGAGCCCAATGGACTACATTCCATAGCATTAAAACCGGACAGGGTAGGGTACTTATTTCACAAATGGGCAAGACAGACTCACCACTTTGTAAATAAGGTGAGGTACAGTATATCACGCTCATTGTGGAGGCATGCCCTATCACGAAGCTGGTAAAACTGTACGAGTGAGATCTGGACGTAACGAAATAGCTTGGGAAGACTTATTGTGCGTATATAATTTTTATATGTATACAGGGATGATTCATTTATCATAAAGCACTTAATTAATAAAAAACAATTTTAAATTATGACTGAAGGTGAAAAGTGGGTACTGATATTTTTATAACTAATTTCTCGACCGTACTCTTCCTCTAATACAGATAATAATGTGTCAATAACTTCCAAAATACTAATCCAAAAATTGTTATCAACCAGTAATTTTCTTAATTAAGTCATTATATATTAAATAAGCTAGTAATTTTTATGCGTTGCCATTTAAGAAATTTAAGTCAAAACCCTTATAAGTTATAAAGAATGAATAAAAAAAACTTTATGATTGACAAATTGAGACAAACATTGAACTAAAAGAAGCAAATAAAAAAATGATTAATATTATTTTTATGTTTTGATTAATTAAGTGATTCATTTATCATATATCGCCCAACGTATAAATAATTATTTTTTGTTACTTTTTTTATTGGTACCACTTTCAAATAAATGTATTTGTTTTTATTATCTATTATTAAAAGATTTTTAACTGGGTTACCATATATATAAACCGATCTGTCATAAACATCAATAAATAATTAAATTATAACTGGTATTTAATGATATATTTTTTATTATTTAATATTTTAACGAATTTATCTGACAATAATATTTTTGTGTTTCATACTTATTTAATGTACAAATAAGTTTGTATACACTGTTTAAAAAATTATCAATTTTTTTAGCTTCGATGCGAAGCTGAGAAGGTATTGGTTTTACTATGATGTACTTTTTTTTTTTTATGTCTATTACCACTTTTTCTCAGCTCTCACCAAACCGATTTCTTTCAACGATACGTCAAAAGATCACAAATCATATCTAGTCAAAGATATTACCCTCAAAAATGGAAATAATTTCCCTCATTCCTCGTAAATGGGGAAAATGTTCAAAAAAATTACAAATTTAAAAATCGTTAATTTTCGAAATTTTTTCAATTTTTTTTTTACTTAAAACTTTTTCAAAAATGAACAAATCAATAAAAAAATTTTTTATAGATGCATAATGTCTTTACCTATCATTTGGTGTATTTTTTTTATAAATTTAATCCTTTACCTGCCCACAGGGGGGTATTCAAAATAACAACTTTTCACAAAAAATTAACTTTTTAAAGTGTTCCGGACACTCTGACACTTTTAAATATATCTTAAATTAAAGATAATGTAATATAATTTATTATGGAAAAAAAAATTTCGGACTTCATTTTGTCTTCACGGTGAAAATTGCTACCGAATGCTATTTTTGTGTGAAAATTCTCGATTTTATATTTTACATTTTTAACTTTAAAATGCTATAACTTATTAAAAAGTGTATGGATTAACACAATTTTTTTTATGAGAAATAACATTTATATCCCTTTTTCATTCGATATACTTTATCTTAATCAGGAAATAGCAGATTATGTAGCTTTTGGAATAATCCACCAATTTTATGAAATTAAACACTATCTAAAGATTTATATCGAAGCGTTTTTTTTTTATAGTGATTTTAATCACTGTCAGATATTATTATACTTGATCCAACTATACCACGTCACCACTTTGCCGCGACCCCCCTGTGCTGGGTTTTTTATTTTAATAATAATTTCAAATGGTATATTATATTATATTTTGTAGACAAAAATATATAAAAACGTTTTAATCTAATAAAACATATGTTGGAAATATAAACATGATAATTATAGTATTGTTAAAAATAAGTAGACGGGGAGACGCGAGTGGATTTTATATATGAAAGGAAAGGAGAAATAGACAGGCGAAAATGTTGTTTAGGTGCAGTGGCATTCCACAGGTAAAATTGACGGGCTGCCTACGGCTACATGTAGTGTGCGTGCGTTCACTAGTGAATGTTAGAATGATGATGAATTATTTTATGCGCATACATGGTATGTATATCTTTTTACTGTATGAAGCTATGTAGACCTCTATGTGATCCAATCACGACATAAGAAGCTTCAGGCAATTAAAATATAAATACATGTTGGATTACATTTTCTTACTCTTATCTTAGATTGTTAGAAGACAATTTTTAACTAAGAAATGATTTTTTTAGTATAAATAAAATATCAAAAACAAATTAGGTGAATATGTATTTATAAATTAGATATCGACTTAATAATTAGTTCAAGAACCCACCATCATCTTTGAAAACGACGTTTTTTATAAAACTATTTTGAAACTATCGACATATCATTAATGAGATATTTATGTTTATCAATAAACATAAATAATTTTTTATTCAAATTTCGGTTTTATTTTTTTATATTTTAAATGCCCGATGAGATTGAATACTATTTCATTGTTTAGTAGTGAGGAGACTTAAACGAATGTAAAGTACAGTTCTTTTTATTTAAAAGTAGTTTATATTGAAGTTATTTCAGTTTCAGCATAAATTGTGTTAATTAATATGAATTAAAATTTATGATATGATTATATTAGCTTCTATAATACATACTTAAAATTAATAGTAATTTATTGAAAAATGTTTTTATAGTATTCTTATAATAACACCATTACAGATAATAAACTATTACAAAATCATTCATGACTTAATTTATCATAAATTTAGAGACATATTTTCGGGCTTCATATAATATACATATGCTTTGTTGTTTTTAAGAACTCCAACTAGAATTATTCAAAATCCCAGGGACGTCCTTTAAATTCAAATAATATAGAATATTGATGTGTATTCACGCAGCGGCGGAATTTTATCGGCCCAAAACCCAACGGGGAGCCTACAACCAGCATAAAATATTTAACTACATGAACTATGTTCACAACACTACTATAATATTATTTTATAGACAATACAAAAACTAAAACGGACCCAAAAATACATCTCTCTAGAAAAAACTTATAATATTAAATATAAATAAAAAAAGTACCATATTTTCAGAATTTATGATTAATTAACTGAATATGCTTAACCCATCTATACATTTTATAGTGGTATTTCTGAAAATATTATTTATACACTCAATTTGACTCACTTGTACACTTTCAGAACTTTTCTAGAGGAATCCTGAATAATAATATGTATTTGAGATACATATCAGAGTTTACTTAGGGGTTGTTCAAAGAGTAAGAAAAAGGGCAATAGTTGTCATTAGATGACCTTTGGAATACGAATAATGAGAATGTTAATGGAAGTCGTATAAGTGAATTCATACGCCATACTTCATTTCTTTTAATATAACATAATTTTAGTTAATTTTTGAAATCAGCTTGGAATTTCTTAAAACCACTACGCCTTCAAATTTTAATATAGAGAGCAGTGTAGATTACTATAGGAAGACAGGAGTATCAACTAAAATATCGCACTTAAGAAAGGCCTAGCAAATTATAACACTGGTGAATATCGTATCCATAAATAGAACCGCAAAATAGCGCAGCAACTACGGGTCACGGATTTACAATAGACATTATTTCAGGTAAACAAATATATTTTTTATTGCTAGTCATTAAAAACATATAATGAGAAAAATAACAAAGTCTCCAAATTAATATGAATAAAAAAATTAATATTAAAATTTAAAATTAATTTTTTAATTTTTATTTAAATAATTATAGTGCATATAACGGGCAAGAAGGCATTTAGAATTCAAATTATGTCTTGAAGACACGGAAAGCGCAAAAATTTTTTAGAAATAGCTAGCCAAAAGCTATTATGAAATGAAATGAAATGCATCAGAAGGAAATTGGTCAATATCAACGAAAACTAAACGAAATTAAAGAAGAAACTGAATATGGAGCTTGAACAACACACAAATAAGATTAACACAAATAATTAAAAAACTGCAAGATAAAGTTCACACGAATACGAAGATCAAACAAATAAAAAGAAAAAAGAAATGAAAACATGGATACATCTGTAAACATTTCAAATATCACAACAACCAATTTAAGCTTTAACACATTCAATCCAACAATTCTTTCCAAAAATTACTATTTAAAAAATACTATTTACAGATTTGCATCGAAGCGTTTTTTATGATAATGGTTTTAAACACATTCAAATATAATCAATATTTGTCTTAATTACGCCAAGTCCATATTGTGGTGTGACCCCATGTACTGTTTTTTTTTTTAAATTACACATAATACACATCGAAGCGTTTAATGATAGTGATTTTAATAACTGACAGATATTAATCAATATAAATCTATAGAAATACATCATCTTTACAACACTGGATTCCAACTGTACAAAACTATTTTTAATATTTTCAATTTTATACTCCTACAACTATTTGAAAAAAATGTATGTATCTATGCAAAGTTTTAAGTAAATAAAAATCATTGTTTTTCGTATTGTTAAATGTTTATACTTCAATTTTATTTTTTAAATTATTAGTGCATATAGATCAAATACTTAATAAATCATAGAAGTCAAATACTATAGTTAAGTAGAAAAGAGAAGGATTAGTACCCCTATTTTAAATAATATGGAGGAATTTTGCAGATTTAAGTATCAATATAAAAAAATATTAAAAGGGAGGTCTAGACCTCACTTTTTTAATTCGTAGAGAAATTATAATTAACTAATGAAGATTAGATTAACCAAATATACTTTAAGCACAATCGTATCGAAGCGTTTTATGATAGTGATTTTAATCACAGACAGATTTCAGTCAATAGTAGTCCCCTCTTTGCCGTGTCCGTACTATACAAGGTTTTTTTAATGCTTCCATCAGAAAATATAAATTTTCAAATTCAAAGTAATTACAAATTTATTTACAAAATAATAATAATTAAAAATATATATATATATTATTATATAGTTTTTTGACAATTTGCTATAGTCATTAAAAATTAAGCTATTAATAAAACATATAAAATAACCTAATTTGATCAAGAATTATATATTAACTAGTATTTAAAAGAGTGTACCTGTTATTATTATTATTCACAATGTTGAAAAATATATTTTTCATTTATAATTTTCTATTAGATGTTGATAATAAACAAATAAACACGCACAGACCACAATTAAACAAAGAAAGTTAAAATAAAACTATTAGTATAAATCACTTTTATATTATTTAATGTTAAAATTTTAACACACGACTTAAAAATGCGAACAATTTACGAACACACACTAGGTCGAATGATTAACTAATGGACTGCCAGTTTCAATTATACGACTAATACTATACATATGACAAGATATAATATACTGCATAGCATCTGCCGATTTCTGATGCAGACTCTTCTACTAGGGAAAAATTAAAGAAGGGGAGAGCCAACGAACGTAACAGTGTGACAATAAACAAGATTATAAAATCCCGTCAGACAAGACTGTGAAAATATAAAAAAATATTGATTTATCAATGACCACTAGATTTCTTTTAATATAATGATCTGGGGATTTTTTTTTATTATTTAAAAGTATTTATTTCTCAACTTTTAAGTGGCCAAATATTTTTTAGGTTTATTTCCTATCCCTCATAAGGATTAAATTAATTTTTTCAAACAGTAACATACATATTTAACTAGTTTATATAATAAAAAATGATCAAAGAAAATAACTTTTTAATCAGTAGTTTAGTAGTTATGAATATTTTTGTACGTTTGTGGGAGAAGTAGTGTGGCAGAGTGATGTGTAATGATAAAAATAACAAAACCCACACTTCGTCTTAGTAAATATTTAAAAATATTAATAATTTGCTGTTATCGACCAGTTATTTTCTTAATCATATTCAATAATATTGAATATGACTAAGAAAATTATATTATATATTATATTATTATACGAGATAAAAGATAGACCTAAAAAATATTTGACCACTTAAAAATGAAGAAACAAATACTACTTAAATAAGAGTAACGTTGTGTTTATACTATGTTTTTAGCATTTCTATCAAGTTCAAGTCAAATTGTATGAAAATGACTTGCATATTTATATGAAGAACGATATACTACATTGCAGTAACGTAATTACGGGTTGCATTTAGGAGCAATCCTAGAGTCCCAACTGTTAGTTATATACAGGGTTCGGGACTTATAGCAATTAAAATCATCAAAAAAAGCACTATAAAACATAAAAAAAAGCACTCAAATAAGCATTTATAAATAAAAAAATTAATCAAAAAATCCCCAAAATTTTTTTAATTTTCTTTTAAATAATAAAGTACTAAATATTTGTAACTGTGCTGAGTATACTTTTTTAGGACTTAAGGATTAAATACCATTAAAATGAAATTATTTCATTGAAAAAAAATACGGGTATTTAATTAATTTATTCTTTTAATTATAAATTAAAATTAAAAATACAAAAAAAAAATATATACAAAAAATTAATTCTGAAAGAATCAAAATGATGTTTGACTTCGACTTTCAAGTTGAATGACAAGAAATGTTAATTAATATCTTGTTTATGGATTTTTTGAAAAATTAAATATAAATTTGTGTTGATATTCCAGTATGTCACAGCGGTCTAAAAATATTGTTTACCGAGAAATCAATTATAAAAAGGAAATCAACAAAGTACCATACTAGTATGACATTTCATACTAGACCATACCATACTAAACCATAGCTAAAGAAGTTAACGATGCCGAGGACGGCGTTGGCTATCAAATAGATAAGACAACAAAGACAAAACCTTACAAGCAAGGAAGGGAATTGAATTATTTTCCTTATTAGATCTATCAAAAACCGATAAAAAAAACCTGGGTAGGCTGCGTCATAAAGAAAATATTTTAATGTACAAAAACAAGAAACAAGCATTTGTTTTTTATTAAATCATCGAAAAAAGCAGAAAAAACTGAAAATAAGCGTTTTTTGAAAAAATCACCAAAAATAGCAAAAAAAAAGAATTTTCTAGCAAACGCTATAAGTCCCGAGCCCTGGTTATATATTTGCCAATTAAATTACCTCAATAAGTAAAAACAACAGCACAGTGGGGTGGCGGCACAATGGGGTCGTGGCATAGTTGGGTCCAGTTTAGATGATATCTGACAGTGATTAAAATCACTATCATAAAAAATGCTTCGATGCAAATCTGTAGATAGTGTTTAATTAAAAAAAAAAAATGTGTTAAAATAGCATATTTTTGAATACGGTAGCCTTTTGCGCATAGAAGATAGGTCGTCGGGACAAATTTTTTTTTTTTATTTTATAGTACATGAAATAAGCTTTAATTTGATATATGTTTAAAGGACGCAGTATTTCCGGAACATTTTCAAAAGTTAGTTGAAAAAGATCTATGTTTTTTACAATATTTTAAGTTTTGAACGCCACCTATATAAGGGAAAATTGTCCAATTTTAATAAAAAGTATGTCAAATGAAAGATGTACTTATAATGTATTTAGAAAAAAAAAATTTGTGCTGATATATACATTTTTCAAAAAGTTATAGCATTTTTAAGTTGAAAATTTAAAATCGAAAATCGAAAATTTTAACACAAAAATAGTGTTTTTTTAACTACGGCAGCCGTTTAAATGTAGAAGAAAAAGTGTCGGGACAAATTTTTTTTTTTCATTTTATAGTACATAAAATAAGCTTTAATTTGATATATGTTTAAAGGACGCAGTATTTCCGGAACATTTTCAAAAGTTCAGTTGAAAAAGATCTATGTTTTTTACAATATTTTAAGTTTTGAACGCCCCCTATATAAGGGGAAATTGTCCAATTTTAATAAAAAGTATGTCAAATGAAAGATGTACTTATAATGTATTTAGAAAAAAAAAATTTGTGCTGATATATACATTTTTCAAAAAGTTATAGCATTTTTAAGTTGAAAATTGAAAATTGAAAATCGAAAATTTTAACACAAAAATAGTGTTTTTTTAACTACGGCAGCCGTTTAAATGTAGAAGAAAAAGTGTCGGGACAAATTTTTTTTTTTCATTTTATAGTACATAAAAAAAGCTTTAATTTGATATATGTTCAAAGGACGCAGTATTTCCGGAACATTTTCAAAAATTAAGTTGAAAAAGTTAATTTTTGTAAAAAAGTTGCCATTTTAAATCCCCCCCAATAAGCAGGTTAAGTGATAGATTTTCAAAAAAATGATATCAAATGAAAGGTAGATATTTAAGGTTTTAGTATAAAAAAAAATTATGTTGATTTGTTGATTTTTCAAAAAGTTATGGATGTTTTAAGAAAAAAAAGTGAAAAAATTTCGAAAATTAGCGATTTTTAAAATTTGTAATTATTTTGGATATTTCCCCCATTTGCGGGGAACGAGGGAATTTTTTTCAATTTTTGAGGGTAATGTCTTCAACTAGATACGATTTGTGATCTTTTGATGAGTTGTTGAGAAATACCAGTCCAGTGAGAGCTGAGAAAAAGTAGTGACAGACAAAAAAAAAAAAAAAAAAAACACATCATAGTAAAATTAATACCTTCTCCGCTTCACATCGAAGCTAAAAGTCCAAAATATATTGTAGTAATACAAAAATAAGAAAGGTGTTTGGGTATTTTGACCAAGGTTGGATATTTGGAGATTTGGTCCATTCAGGAGCAACGAGGTTCTATCGGGGTTGTAGAGTCCAAGGGTTTAGAACAATAATCCAAGTTGGATGTTAATATTTTTATTTGTGAAGTTTTCTTATATATATTTGAAGATAATGTAAGTTAAGTAGTTAAGTATAGGCTCCAGTTGTTTATCTTTTTTATCAATGCTTCATGTTGAATAGTTAGATCTGGATCTTAGTTTTTATTTTTTTACAGTATTATTAGAACTATTATCTCTTAATAATAGAGTTTTATCTCTTTTATCCACCATAAATCAAAACTTTAAAAATTAAGTTAACTCTTATTTAATTTGATTAATTAATTATAAAAGAACATTAAAATGTGTTTTAGATAAAAGTGAGTTATTTTCAATTGTAATCTTACCTGGTAATTTTTCTTTGTTCTTAGAATAACTTCAGTGACAGTATTGAGTAATAATTGATTAATAAAATTACACAAATTCAATTTTTAGTTTACAACTTTAACGCTCAAGAATTCTGATAAAAATGATCACAATTTTAATGTAATAATTTTTAGTGCGCGATTAGAGATTGCTCTGATTAATATTTTGTATCCCCAAAAAATTATTATTGTCTTGTTCTTACCATGTCATTTTTTATTGATAATTAAACATAAAATATATAAATTATTAAAGATGAATAGCATACAAATCATTGTGACTTTTATATAATGTTAATATAGTTTTTACGATTAAGATTAGGGTTGACACATTACGTTTAATTATTAAGATTAGAGAAAAAATATGATATGTATAATTTATTGATTTCTTCTGGGTAAAGAGTGATTTAAAAAATGATCAATATTATCGATTTAAATAGAACTATTTATTGATTTATGACTAAAAAGTGTAATATAATAGGATTTAACAGTATGCACTTGTTAAATATTTTTCTCAATTATTTATTTAAATTTTTTGTTTGAAAAGAATCATATTCTTTTAAGTATATGAATGTAATGATAAATAGATGTATTAATTTTCTTGATCGAAAAGGTTAAATAAAATACCAGTATTGTGGATACGAACAGAGTAGCCCACTGTGATACCATACAATGATGTAATGAGTATACTACTTTATTATTTAATTCTACAATAATTAATGTGTTATTTAAAAAGTTAAGCCTCATCTATAATTTTGGGTATCCTGTAGACATTTCTATGTTTAGTTGACCACAGATTCTGTGATTTTACCATGACTTTGAATTATATATATTTATAAATTTTGTTTGATCCGCTTAGAAGAGTCCCAAGTTTGTTTAACTGTCGTAGGATTATATAGTAACGCAGAAATATTATTTCGTTTTGGAGGGATTAACGCCCCCCATTAATCTCCCCAAAACTATACTACAGGAAAAAATACATAATAAATTTTCAAGTTGATCAATAAAAATTTTTACTGGCTAATGGTATATTTAGATTAACTTAACAAAAATTTTGATGCGTATAATACGCAGACTTGAAGATTACTCATTATTATGTTATCAACGCATATTATATAGCCACAACAGTATATTTTATGATATAGTTCTTGTTATCAGATAGAATCATCAGTTACTGCTCAATAAAAACCGGCGAATGACGATAGACAATTCTCCCCACCAATCATAGTATTATCTAACCTTAAATACAAATAGCTTTGTAAATAGTTAGTAGCTTAGTTAATAAAATTTACTAATTTGTTACTGTTGTTATTCTATATCTGCATTTTTCTATGATTCTATAGTTAGTTATAGCTGCTTAAGTTTCATTTCATAAAATGCCTTTTTTAAATTTTGATTAAAAAATCTACTACTTTGATTAGTATAAAAAATAAATATCAAATTTAATCTAATGATTTTATTTTGCTTATAAAATTGTGTTTTCACTTATATAAAATGTTGCCAAATGACCAGGTAAGCTTTCTATATATTATATTAAATTTAATATCAAAAAAAATTATTATATGCAAAGTAAATTTTACACTCTTTATAGGGTACATGTAGTCCATCAATTAATAATTTGACTGAAACAGATGCAGAAAATAATACCTTGGAAAATAGTAATCAGCCTAACATGAATTCTTGTAAAAAGAAATCATGGTCTGAGATTCGTCAAACTGTGTGTGATTTTCGTCATCAACTCTCTGCAATTTCAGTATTGTCAATTACTCATATATCTTTTCGACATTTACAAAGTGGAAAGATACGAATTTATTTTCTTAGTGCTCCAGTAAATGAATTTGAAACACTATTGTATGTTGATTTACCAAATCAAGGTATAATAGGCCAGCTTCCATGGCAACCTTTAATTGAATCCAATTTCCCAACCGTTATAATGGGAGGTCGTTATTCACGGGAAGAACAACTTTTATCTGAAAGGAAAAGGTTGACCACTTTTGGCATTACATCATATGAGTTAAATAGTGAATCTGGTAGAATTGTGTTTCCGGCTGCAAGTACATTATTTCATTGTCTTGACAATGAGTATTCGGTAAAGAACTTCGTTCATATTAAAACATATTATTCAGGCGCAGATACAGAATTAATGTATTATCGTTAATTAATTTTTATTTATAAATTTCTTCAATGCTAAGACTGTAAATAAGTATTGATTTTTCAGCAACTAAAAGGCTAGTTTAACCTTAGATAATTTCAAATCAAAATTTTAGTTTATACTATAATGATTTTCTGTTGACTTCTACACTTGTTAAAATAGTATTAATTACATTGGTATTTCTTTGATTATTGAGAAATTATACCTTTCATTGTATTTACTATATCCGTGCCTGGAAATTCTTACTCTTTTTAGATTAATATTAAATTTTATAATTGTTTTTTTTAGAATAGTATGTTGTATCCAACTGAATTAAGGACTAGTGCTACAGGTGCTAAGCTTTCACCTCAAATTTGTCCAAGTAATATTGATCTTATAGCATATGTATGCAATTTTGATATCTGGGTCACACATTTAACTACAGGTGGTGTAAAACAGTATTGACAAATAATTAATAATTATAGAATTAAAATAAGCGTTTATATTAACTTTTATGTATGATAACTGTTTTTTTTAATCTTATTTTTTCATATTCTCATCATACATGTCTATTATGTTCATAAGTTTACAAAATTGTTCTAGTTTTTTTAAGTTTCAGTGATAAATCAAGAGAGTTTTTAGTCTAAATTTTTCATTGTTGAAAATATATCATTGATATTAGATTTGTAGTCTGATTTTTGAAGAATATAGAAAAATAACCATATGTATATCAAAATTAGTTAATTAAAAAAAGTCTTTTAGTCATTAAAAATATTTTATAAATTAAAATTTGACTTTATTAATTATTGACTTTAAATTTATTAGAAATTTTAAAATGAATAGATATAGAAATTCTAGTATTAATATTAGTTTAAACTTATTAAATTATTATAAAAACTGTTTAATAATGAAAGTAAATCTTCTTCTTCTTCCTTGCCTTAAACCCAACTAAACGCTAAATTGTACATTCCCAAACAACAATCATATTATGTCAATTGCCACCGGAATTTCTGATAATATTTTTCTTTTTCTTTGCCTTAATCCCAACTACTTGGGGTCGGCCACCCTTATCCTAAGCTTCCACTTGACACGATCTCCCACATCTTCTACGCTCACATCAGCTGTCCTCAAATCGCATTCAATAGCATCCCTCCATCTCTTTTTTGGTCTTCCTCTATCTCTTCTTCCTTCAACATTCATTTCTATAACTGTTCTTACAGCTTCCGATTCTTCTCTCGTCATAACATGACTAAACTATCTAAGTCTATTTTCTCTCACCTTATCCACGATTGACGCTACACCTATACTCCCTCTTATATGCTCGTTCCTTATTCTATCTTTTCTAGTCACTCCACTCATTCATCTAAGCATTCTCATCTCTGCTACACTCGTTCTCTGCTCTACTTTCTTATCGGCCACCCAACACTCTGAACCATACATCATAGCTGGCCTCACTATAGTCTTGTAGAATTTACCTTTTAGCCTCATTGGAATTTTTTTATCGCATAAGACACGAGACACTTCTCTCCTTTTCAACCACGAACACTTAATTATGTGTCTTACATCCTCGTCAATACCACCACTTTTTTGCACAACTGACCCTAAATACTTAAAACTCTCCACCTCTCCAATCACATTCTTGCCTATTGTCACTGACCTCCTCATTTCACCTACCTTGTGTTCTCCTTTGTCAAACTCGTATTATATACTCTGTCTTACTTCTACTTATTCTTAAACCCTTTTCTTCAAGAGCTGATCACCACACCTAGAGCCTTTGATTAATTTCCTTCCTATTTTCTCCTATTAACACTATATCGTCAGCAAACAACATGCACCACGACACCTCTCCTTGTATTTCTCTAGTAATTTCATCCATCACTATAGAGAATAAGTAAGGGCTTAAAGCAGAATCTTGGTGCACTCCTACTATTACCCAAAAACCTTCTGATATTCCTCCTACGCTTTTTACCCTGGTATAAGTGCCATCATACTATCTTCTATTATATTAATGTACCTTATCGGGACTCCTTTTCTCATTAATGAACACTTTAAAACCTCTCTCGTTACTCTTTCATACGCTTTCTCCAAATCCATAAATACCATACACAGCTTTTTCTTCTTTTCCCTAAACTTTTCTATTAGTTGCCTCATACAAAATACTGGCTCCATTGTTGACTTACCAGGCATAAATCCATTGGTTTTTAGATATCAATGTCTCATTTCTTATTTTCTTATCTATTGCCTTTTCCCAAATTTTCATACTATGACTCATAAGCTTTATGCCTCTATAATTTCCACACTCCTGTATGTCACCTTTACCTTAAATATCTGCACCACAATACTATTCCTTCAGTTATTTGGAATTTTTTCTTCTAATAAGATTTTATTTAAAAGTTCCTTCAACCACATTATGCCAACACCGCCTATTATTTTCCATATTTTTACTGGTACTCTATCTGGTCCTACTGCTTTATTCTTTTTCATTGATCTCACAGCCTTTCATGCCTCTTTCTCACTAATTAAATCTACCAGTCCCTCATTCCACGAGATATCCTCTAATGTCTAATAATAAAAATAAATAGTTGTATTTTTTCATATTATTTATTTGAATTGCAATATGTAGTTTTTAAATATTATCCTTATGATGATTATTTTTTTAATAAGAAATTATAAAACTTAGGCATTAACCTTGATATTCTTAAAATTAAAAGCTAAATAGCTTTTAAGTTATAGGACATATTTAAGTATATATGTTTATAAACTTAAATGCTTATTATTGTCATAAACTTTTGTAGGAATATAAAAATTTTAGAATTAGTATATGATTGTTTCCTAAAAAAATTTAATAAAAACATAAAATGTAAAATAAATATTTCTGCTAAAAATATTAGATATTAGTTATGAATATTAAAAATTAAATCATTAAAAATAATATTTATTATCATTTATGTAGTACTAATTGCCAATTTACAATAAAAAAAAATATTACATTAGTAGGCTTAATTAATAATTTGTATTTTAAAAGGTTTAGTCTTTATAAAAACTTTATAATATAACAGTAATAAGCAAAAAAATGATAATATATTTTATATCTTCTCATAATTGAAACTTTTTGATAAAGGTAGTACTAAAAGATTGACTTTTGCTCATAAAGGAGGACGATGTTTATCAGATGATCCATTAGCAGCTGGAGTACCTTCCTATGTAATGCAAGAAGAATTTAACCGTTATCACGGTTACTGGTGGCAACCAAAAAACCAGTCTGGTAACTATTTTAATAATTTCAAATTAAACCAAATATTTGTATACTACAAATATTTGGTTAACATAATACTTATATTATTTATATTAAAATAAGCAAACAAACTAAAAACAATATTTTTTATTTATTAAAAAATTAGTTTATATTCAAACATTAGCCATAAATATACATACATTTTTTTCTATTTTCAAAAAAGATTCAACTAAATCTAATTTTTAAGAAGTATGAAATTTATTCATATTTCTTAGACTTAAAATTTTCTATTAAGTCATAGATAGATAGATAATTTACCAAGTTCTAAATTAAAATTTTTTATCTTAAATAGGGCTGGGTTGAAAAATACTTTTAATATAATTTTATGTATTTCTAAAAATTTGTGCATAATTATTGAAAAGGAATGTCATATTATGAAGATGAAAAAATTTTTATATAAATTTCTCAGGTTGAAGCAGGGATTCTTTGTTACTTAAAAATGTTTCTTTGTTTTCAATGTTCAATGTTTTTTTTCTTTAACTTTATACTTTTTTTATAAAGAATTACAAAATTTTGTTTTGGATTGCACTGTAATTCTAATACAACTCATATTCCAAATATAGTTAAAAATATTGTAATTGTATTGTATACAAATTTATTAATGGAAATATAAATAGTTTACTTCTTAATTATATAAATTATTTATTATAATTTTTTTCACTTTTCAGAAGATGGGATTTATAGAATATTGTATGAAGAGGTTGATGAGAGTGAAGTTAAAATATTTCATTTCCCTTCATCAAATTCAGCTGGTAGTGGTGAAATTGAACAATATAGGTAATCAAAAAAGTATCTACGATATAATTTTAGGCTTTAATAAACAACAATATGTGTATAAAATTTATTGAAATTATAAAGACATAGATTTTGGCTAGTACATTTTAATATATATAAATTTTTTTTGTTTTTAATATATTTATTGATAAAAATTTTAAAAAATGTGTTTTTTGAATGAATTATTATGAATAACACAAAACGTTTTGAGAATAAGCTTATATTAGCTGCAATAAAAAAAATATATGTATCAAATTTATGATCAAATATCATTATTGAAAACCCCTAAATTCAGGAGATACTAAAAGTTAATTTTTATATTAATCATTCATATATAAACTTTAATTTTTTATTTTATATAAATGCTATAATTTCTCTGCATTCAATAATAACAAAATCTCATTTTGCATATAGAAAGTATTTCTGTAAATGATAAATTACATTTTTCCAAATATTAAAATATAGTATTATGTTTTGTAATTTATGATATGATAACTTTAAGGTTCCCTCGAGCTGGAACTGCCAATTCAAAATCAAATTTAAAATTAGTTGAATTCAAATTAGATGAAGAAAATCAAATAATTTCAGTAAGAAATTTAGAACTTCAATATCCTATAGCACACATGTTTCCTTGGATGGAGTACTTGGTTAGAGTTGGATGGACACTAAATGATAATTTGTGAGTATATAAATAAATTTGTTATTTATACATAATATGGGCAAATAAAAATTTATGATTAGTTTAATAATTAAAGAATAAGTGTATAAACAGCAAAAATATTGATGAAAATTGTTAAGCACAAACAGTAGGTAAAAGTATAAAATAGTAAAAACAAAGACACAAAAAAACATTCATCATATCTAAATATTTGTAGATAAAAAAATGTAATAAATATGCATAATATAAACCTCAATGAGTAATAAGTAATTATTATACATGAACTTACATACTAAAAATTGACAATTTAATTTAACAAAATAGCTAAATGACAGCTCAATTGTATAAATTACAAAGAGTAATTGAAATTATGAGTACTACTTGCAATGTGCATTATATGTAAAAGGTGGAAATGAAGGAAATAATTTATAGTTAACAAAAGTATAAAAAAGGAGCAGTAAATAAGTATGTCGAACAGGAACATGAAAATTTAACTTCAAAATGGGAATAGGGGAATCTTTATTAATAATATGATTTTATTGATATAAACTAATTAAATTTGATATAAAGTTAGAATATTTAGTTTGTAAAGTAATTTTTGTTTTTAAATCAATGATGAATATTTTGCATTGTATTTTTAAGAAGGCTGTATCTTGAAAAAATTTGTGTTGAGATAGATGACTTACAAGTTTAGATTGTAAGGTTTCAGCTAAAACAAGAGGCTTACTATTTATTCACTGCCCAGGAAAACACTAGACAGTGACTTAATAGCTGAGCCAAGCAAGAAAAGTTCTGGTTGATGGAGTTACTAGGTTTTGAGTTAAGAAAAAAAAATAAATATTAATAAAATAAGGGAAGAATAGAAAGAGAAAAAAAAGGTACATTGTCTTCTTATTTAATTATAAAGACATAAAAAGTATTGTTATGTGTTACATTGTTTTTAGTATTTGTTTATACTTTAATTTTTAATTACATGTGCAATTAAGGTGGTTGATTTTAGTTAAAAGATGCTTTTATTACAATAACTAAAATGCATAAAACAACTCAAAAAAGATGACAATAAAAATAAATTTATTTAGCACATTAGCACAACAAAATAAACCAGATGGCTTCAGTTGCCAAATAGCAACGGAATAATACAGCAATGAAAAAAAAATTTTCATACATATAATAAATTTCACAGGCAATAGTTGCCGATTAAACAAACAGAAAAACACAAATACTTAGCAATTTTAATTTGATTTACCTAGTTATTTTTATACTTAAAGAAATAACTTTTTTTATTAAGTAATTGATTATTTATCTATTTAGGTTGTTAATTGTTTTAATACTATGTCTAAAAATTGTTAAATTAATAAATAAATTATTTTTAGAATTTGGCTAGAAATATTGGATCGTAGACAACAAAGACTAGAACTAGTTATTTTATCAGTTGATAATTTTGTTGAGCTCGGATCTCCAAATTTGACTAGTACAACACCATCATTAACTTATTTTATCCCGCCACAAGTCATTTACTCTCAAACATCTAATATCTGGGTGAATGTATGTATCTCTATTTTAAAAAATAAAAATTTTTAAAATATGTTTTGGTTGTGTTTATTAAGTTAATTGTCTGTATTAATAAAATAAAAATAGTAATATTAAAAAGCATTATTTGTTTTAGGTTCATGATTTATTGTACATTTTTCCAATAACTAATAATGGAGAGGTAACAATTATTTGGGCCACTGAAGATACTGGATTCAGACATTTATATTTAATTACCAGTGTAATCACAAGAATAGCAAATGAAAATGGACTGCATACCATTGATCCAAGTGAAAGTAAAAATAAAAATTTAATTTAAAAATTGTTTATAAAAAAATTAAATATTACAATTACACCTTATAATATTGAAGGAAGTTTAATAATTATTGAAAATATTAATTTTCAAAATTATTTTTGTCTAAAACATTACATTGAAATAATCAAAATGGTTTTTACTAGTACACTGAATATTTAAAACAAATTATTTATGTAAAACTCAATTATTTTTAAAGTTTGATGTTGAATTGCAAACTGTTATCTTGTATCAATTATTTTAATTTGAAAAACTGTATAAAAAATCTGTTTTTTAATAAAAAATCCATTTCTTAATTCTGTTGTTATTGAAATAAATTACTCATAATTCACTTAATTAATTGAAAATTAAAATAATATTTATATGTTTATTTTTTCAAATGGCAATATTTATAGTTAATTGGCTCATTAAGTAGATAATGTAGGTGTATAAAATTAATTTTTTTTTATCATCAGAGATGAAAATATAATTTTCTAAACCAAATAAAAAATTATTTAAGGTCTAAATACTTCAATTATATTTTCCTTTTAAACATAAATAACTAAATAGAAATTATTACTATAATTTTTTTTTTTTGAATTATTTATAGTAATATAAATGCAAAAAGTTGTGATTTTAATCATATTTTGAGCTTATCTTGTAAATGTACTGTTAATAGTAGTTTTATACATTTTTGACAAGATATTTATCTAAATAATACCATTTTTTAAATCCTTAGAAAATTTCTTAATAATAGGAAATTATAAGTATTAAAAATAGCTGCACTTACACTTCTCTTCCAGACTTTAATTTAAATTATTAATAACTTCCAAAATATTGGTTCTAAGTTGTTATGAATTAGTTATAATCAGATAACATCATTAGATCATTATCTAATAAATAAGGTAGTTAGTTTTAGTTTTAGTTATTAAAAAACTACCCACCCATGTACTCAGATCTGTAGGTCTATTGTGCGCACCTCATTCGAATGATAGTAATTTGGTTTCTTTATCTAATTGTCCTCACCAAAATATTGTTACCATTATAAAATATACCTAACGTTATAGAGTATAATTTGTTTTTCACAACCCATTCTATTCTTACATAATTGAAATAATTTCGAGATTTATTAATTGTGATGTACTTCCTCATTTCATCTCTTAATTAATAAAGATGTTAATTTAATTTTTTTAAATGGAATTAAATTGTAGTAATGATTTTATATTGTAATAGGGAAGTTATAAAATTGAAATGTAGGTTGGAAAAGAATCAAGGGTATAACTATTTACAGCATAAGTCATTTCATGATGTTCTCCTCCTCTTGTCATAGTAAAAAAATATGTGAATAACTCGCAAACTACTACTCCTAAAATTGTTATTGATCTATCATTTTCTTAATTAGATTGTCTTCCATTGTGTAACCTAGTTAAATATGTATGTTGGCATTAAAAAAAATAAAGTTGACACCTTTATAATTTATGTGTATGCATCTAAAAAAGGTCACAAAAAATATTCCAAAAATTGTTTATATTTTGTAATCGAGTGGGTTATAAATTATGCATAGCCAGATTCTTTTAATGTTAGCCACTTAATATCTCTTGAAATAATAATTGTGTTAAGAAAATAACTTTTGATAAATTTAGTTCCATATATTTCTTGATTAATTAAATGTTAATTACTTTTTAATTAATCCATTATGTTTTATAAGGGATTAACTTTATTTTAACAAAGATTTTAACAATAGTGATATTAATTACTGTCAAATATCAATCCTTACTGGAGTTCACCATGATTCCCACTATGTCGGGTTTTGACTGAACTGATAATTTTTTATAAAATACATTATGTATTAATAATGATTTTTAATTTGAAAAATTTAATAGGAAGTTTTTATTTTATTTCAGATAATATGATGACATCTAAATTAGCACTTACTAGTGGAAATTGGGAAGTTTGTGGTAAAGGCCTTTGGATTGATTTAGAGTATCAAATTGTTTACTTCATGGCAGTCAGAGAATCACCATTAGAAAAACATTTGTATGCTGTTTCATTAAAAAATCCGGGAAATATTAAATTGCTCACTAAACCAGGATATTCATATGAAATTGATATTGATAAAGTATAAAACCTATTATAATTAATTTAAACATCAAAGATTTAAATTTTAATCTATTAGTATTGGCTTATTAAATTAGAATTGTGAGGTTTGTGTAGCTGTGTACAGTAATATAAGGATACCTCCATCTTGTCAAGTTTTTCGATTAGAACATAGTGATATGACTATTGAAGGAATACATTTGCAATCATTAGGATTTTTAGTTGAAAAAAATGGTAAAATTATTTAAAAAAAAATATTTTTCTATTGATTTTTTAACTGTTTAAATTAATTTATGTTTCAAAATTAGAAGTGAACAGTGTATTACAAAGCCCTACTCTAATAACACATAAAATTAATTCTGGCGATGTTTTATTTGCCATGGTATTTAAGCCACATAAATTTGTTGCTGGAAAAAAATACCCTACTGTTCTTCATGTTTACGGTGGGCCAGAAGTTCAACTCGTTACCAATACATATAAAGTAATTTCATATGATTTAAATGTAGTATAAGGAAGAATTCTAAATGTTCATAAGAAAAATTTAAATTTCTTACAAATTTGATAAGTTTTACAAAAAACTATAGTTGAAAGGCAATAAATTTGAAAGAAAATCTTGTTTAGTTTGTTAAATTTTATGAATAACACATCAATATTCTCTGATATTTTTCGTATTTGCACCACTAAACAATTTACTCCTATTTTTTACAAGATTTTAATTTTGTTTCAGGGTGCAAGACATATAAGGATGCACATGTTAGCATCTCAAGGTTATGTTGTTGTTGCTATAGACTCTCGAGGATCTAGACACAGAGGTTTACAATTTGAAAGTCATTTGAAAGGAAGACTTGTTAGAATTTTTGGATGTTTCATATTGTCTTAGTTCATTATACTAAATTATTTACTAATTATTTTTAATTTTATTTATAGGGAACGGTAGAACTATCTGATCAAATTGAAGTATTACAGTGGTTATCTGAATATTTAGGATATATTGATATGAATAGGTTGGCAATACATGGATGGTCATATGGTGGATATTTGAGTCTTATGGGTCTAGCCACTTATTCAAATATCTTTAAAGTAGATCAAATTAGTTTTGTTATTTTTTACCCATGTTTTATTATTATTATTTATGATATAATTTTGAAGGTGGCAATAGCTGGCGCTCCCGTTACATCTTGGACTATGTATGATACAGGTTATACCGAGAGATATATGGATTTACCCCAACATAATTCTGTTGGGTATATGAATGGATCTGTTTTAAGTTATGTTAGTCGTTTACCAGATGAGTAAGTTCACTTACTTAATCACTTAAAAATGTTGTTTTATGTGTTGAAAAATTTCTGTTCTCAACTGTTTAGAGAAAACAGACTTCTAATCATACATGGATTAATAGATGAAAATGTTCATTTTTCACATACAAGTTTGTTAATTAATACACTAGTAAGATATGGTAAACCTTATCAACTTCAGGTATATATTTTTAATTATATATGAAATAGTTTCAGTTAGGCATTTTGTTTTTAATGTACATCTAACATATGAATACTTTTTCATTGATTAAAGTCATAGTATAAATTGAAAAAAAAATCAGTCATTAGATATTTCAAGGTTTGAATTAATATACTATTTTAATAATTATTTTTATAAAACTGTAAAATAACAATTGTAAAATTTTTTTTAGCTTCGATGCGAAGCTGAGAAGGTATTGGTTTTACTATAATGTGATTTTTTTGTCTGTTACCACTTTCTCAGCTTTCACCGAACCAATTTCCTTAACTATATGTCAAATTATCACAAATCGTATCTAGTCGAAGACATTACTCAAAAATTGAAAAAATTTCTCTCATTCCCCTAAATTGGGGAAATCTCCAAAAAAATTACAAATTTAAAAATCCCTAATTTACGAAAAATTTTCAATTTTTTTTAATTAAAACTGCCATAACTTTTTCAAAAATGAACAAACCAATACATTTTTTTTTTATAGATGCATGATATCTTTACCTATCATTTGGTATATTTTTTTTATAAATCTGACCCTTTACCTGCCCACAGAGGGGGATTTAAAATGACAACTTTTTTAACTTAAATTTTGAAAGTGTTCTGGAAATACTGACACTTTTATATATATCTTAAATTAAAGCTTTTGTAATATACTTTATTATGGAAAAAGAAAAATTTCAGATTTTTATAATGCTATAACAATTTTTTTATGATAAATACTATGTATTTATTTACCTCTTTCATTGGACATACTCTTTTTTAAAATAAAACCATTTCCCTTTATATATTTATATATTATAAATAAATATAATTATATATTTATTCATATATTACACTTATAAATCATAAAACTTGTAATCAGGAAATAAATAAGGAAATAGGATATCATGTAGCATTTGGAATAATCCAACAATTTTTTAAAATTAAAAACTACAGATTTGCATCAAAGTGTTCTTTATGATAGTGATTTTAATCATTGTCAGATATTATTATAGTTGAGCCAAATATGCCACGTCCTCACTGTGTTGCTTTTTTTTTCTTTTACTATATTTATTGCTTTAAAAGTTTTTTTTGTTATTTTATTTTGTTCTAGATTTATCCTAATGAACGACATAGCCTAAGAAGTTTGGATGCTACCAAACATTATGACACAACATTTTTATCATTTTTGCAAAATTATTTATAATTGAAACTAAAATGATTTAAGTAAATTTACGATCTTATATTTTAATTAGCTCTTATAATTTTAGCTTATTTAGTTTTTTTTTTTTTTTGAATATTTTGTTTTATTATAACTTTTCAATACTAATAAGCTTTTCTTAGTTATTTTTGTGAAACTCAAACATGTCTTTAGCATAAAAACATATTATCATAAAATAAAAAATCAATTTTATTTATTTATTTTTTTATATAATTAAATAATTATTGTATATTTAATAATTTATTATTTTTTATATATTTTTAAACTGTACTTAAGAATTAAACAATATGGAATTATGCTGTGATTTTGTTTTATTTAAATGATTATTATTATAATATGTAAATATAGTAACAATAATAGTAATTTATTTAATTATTAATATATAGTTATGTATAATATCCCACAATATAGTATTGTAATTACATATTTTTATTTATTTTTAACAATAGTGAAATTAGTGACTAAGATATGTCACTATGAATACATTTTCAGTATTGTTAATATGTAATGTATATTAAAATATTTTTTAGTTGGCCTACTTTGTTGTAAATTTGTTTCTTTTTCACCAACTAAAATTTTATGTTGAAATTGAATATCAAATTTTTTTTAATTCCCTAAATTTTAGCTTAGATGCGAAGCTGAGAAGGTATTAATTTTATTATGATGTGTTTTTTTTTTTTTTTTTTTTTT